GTTGGGGTGTTGGTGGGGGTGTGACAACACATGATTCCTCCAGGTTCTGGCGTTTGGCCTGTGACTGTGGTTAGCAGATCAGGAATGAGAATGTGGATCTCACTTCTAATACAGGGGCTGTGGATATGTTGCCCTTTGACCCTGTAACTCACCCAATAGTAAATCTTTGACAGTTTATTGCTGGTGTTTGCCCAGAGGGTTGCATGTGACGATTCCTCATTACCCCACATTACCTGAGTAGAATTTGGCCCCAAAACCTTCATGCAGATGCAGACACATGATTTACTATACTATTATACTATCACTATACACTTAAACTATTTTTTATAGTATGGCTTTTTAAACATGCTTTCCCTTCTCCTTTCTTTCAAAGCAGTCATTTTTCACTAGAATGTACAGATGTGGTTTAGTACCATCACTTAAGTTTGGACCTGAAATGGGGCGGACAAAGACTCCACCAATCAAAAAGCAGTGCTGCCCTCTCCCTTGACTCCCCTTCCCACTAACGGCTCTCATCTGGAGCTCCTTAGGCCCGGGCATGAGCAGCAGAGCATGTGTTTTCCTCCACACTTTTTATGCAAAGCCATAAATTATATTCCCCCCCACCACCTTCTCGTTCATGCCGTACATCGAGCAGAACATTCTTTCTCTTCCGCTGAACTATGGAAGACTGGAGCAAGACCATGTACTCTCTCGTAGCACACAGGTAGTCAGGGGGCTCCCAGTCTGCAGTAGTGATGTGCTTGGTTCCTGTTTCCAACCCAGTCAACAAAGGAGATCACTGTTTTCACTTTGGCTTGTAAATTTGATTTTTTTTATGCCAGATGCCCTTCCTGAAACCTCTACCCTCTTTTAACTGGATTTGGAAATAGCTCTAAATTATGTTGGCCTGTAAGCGCTTGTGATGAATGATGTAGAATGGTAAAGAAAACAAGGATATTGGAGCTGCAGGAGGACTTTAGAAAAGTGATTATAACTGACTGCTCCTTAACGAGTACCAAATATTTGGGGTCAATTTGATTTACTCTGATAAGTTAGAAGAACATTGAAAATCTATAAAATATAAGCATTGTTTTTTTTTGTTTTTTTTTTAAATATGTGCTTTTAATAAAGTTTTCTGGCTAAAAATTTCATATTTCAAAATTCCATACAAAATAATTTTTTGTACAAAAAGCCAATCTCTGTGTGTTTAAACTGCCTAAAAACAAAATGGATATCTCTTTTCACAAGGTTAAACTCTTCATGTTACCATGGTGGAGCTGCCCTATCACTGGTGTATGCTTCCTCTGTTTACTCAGGGTCACACTAATGGCACCCCGGCACCTGTCCTACCAGCAATTTGGCTTTTATGTTAACCTGGCGCACAGATGCTTTCACGTCAATAAGACCAGATATAAGACTGTAGAGGTTCTATTGCATCAACAGACAACTGAAAAAACACAGTAAAAAAAAACTCCAGTCAATAAATAAAACACAGAAATCACTTTCTAATTGTTGGTGACTCTTGCCTGGACTGAAACAGAAAACTTTTAAATTCAAAGTAGTTGCAACAAAATTATGTATTTTAAACACACAAGGCCACCATTATATATATTCTAGGTAAGAAACACATTTATTGTTTGTAAAAATTAACTAAATGTTCAAGTTCAAGTGTCCAAAAAGTTCTGATGCAGTCAAGCTTTTCATGCTGGCTGGAGAATGCAATAAATAAGTCAGAAATCACTTTATTCAAAAGCTATTTGTATTTTGGGAAGTTGTGAACAGTTGCAGTAATGCTGAGATAAACTGTACATTAATGAATTTAGGGTGAGGTGGTCCTTCCTGCTATTTCCTATTTTCAGGCCAAGTGACATCTTGTCTTAACTTAAGGTCATCTACAACACAAAGCTGGACCAAAATAGCCTCAAAGATAAACAACTCAAGTGTGATCAATGTGAGGAAACTCAGTCCCAGTATCAGTAAGTAGCACAAGTGTTATGAGTCTGTAGTACCCATGTGAGTGAGTACCTGGCCCTGTGAGTCTGTCACATGCGGAGTGAGCATTTGATTGGTCCCTGGGCAGAGAACTCACTGGAGGGGGGGCATTGATTGGACACTTTGACATTTTGTGACTCTAATGGTGTTTTTTTTTTTTTTTTTGTGCAGCCTGGGTGGGGTCTCTTTCCATGGGCATGATCTTCTTCTGCTCTCCGATTGTGAGCGTGTTCAACGACCTGTTGGGCTGCCGGGTCTTGGCTGTGGGTGGCGCCTCAGTTGGATTTGTAGGACTCCTTGCCAGCTCCTTTGTCACGTAAGCCGCTCACGTGATCTATTACATCTATATTATGCATAAAGAATATTGTGAGCTTTAGAAAAATCTTTCAGTGGGAGTTCTACCCTGCTAAATATTTTAGTATGTCCATCAGAATGTATCAGCATCTGTGTGTTAAGATCTGCTCCCAAGCAGCCTCATAAACCTCTGTCAGCCCTGAGACTAGAGCCGTTTAGCACCATCTCTTCATTTCCAGGGATTCTGTACATCCTTGCTTCTACATGTGAGAATACCCCAGCGCTCACACACACAAAGGCCACCCCTGAACCACCCTCACATATATGCTCAACAAATGACACCTTATCAAATGCTCCTCACCATTGAGCTCAGGGCCTTGTCATTTCACAGGAACATTCAGTTTTCAACCTGGAGTTCAACCACAAAAATGTGAGACATGACTGAAAGATATTATTCACTTTCCCTCTCTAAACCCTGAATTCAAACTAAAACTTTGCTCCATTTGATCTGACATGTAGTAGGTAACCCCTCTGATGTGATAGAGGACTAATATAAATTGTGTTTTTCATTTGATCTATCTCTAAAGGAAGTTTCCCAGAATTATGCAACCCTAGAACTTTGTATGTTTTTGTGTCGGCAGGTCGCTGGACTTCCTGTACTTCACTTATGGGATAGTGTTCGCATGTGGCTGCTCATTCGCCTACCAGCCAAGTCTGGTGATCCTGGGGCACTACTTCAAGAAGCGCCTGGGCCTGGTGAATGGCATAGTGACGGCAGGCAGCAGTGTTTTCACCATGGTCTTGCCTTTTATTCTTTCTTGGCTGCTGGAGAAAGTTGGCCGTCAGAACACCATGCGAATCCTCTGCATCCTCATGTTTGTGCTCATCTTAGCTGGTTTTACCTACAAACCCCTGATACCTGCCAAAACCAGGAAGCGCACTGGCAGCCGCTGTCCAGGTTTGGGACAGTTCTTCAATGTCAACATCTGGAAGTCCCTTGGTTATCGGATCTGGGCCTTCGGGGTGCCTGCCGCACTCTATGGATACTTTGTGCCTTATGTTCATCTGGTAAGCTCCCTTTTATACAAGTCATAGCTCATGAGAGACAGGGGTAGGTTTTGTTTTGGGGAAAGTGGTGACTTGGCCCCTGCCAAACAGCAGCAGGTTAGAGCTAACACTCTGCTCTCCAGCTGTTCGTTCCCAGTATCTCAGTGTCATGTTTTGGATTTTCTCGATGGTTTGAAGATGTTTTGAAGACAAGGCAAAGGTCACCCAAAACCTTCAATCATTGAACAGTCACTGAATGAAAACAAACTAGAGGAGTTTCAGTCAGCTGGTGATTTCAAACCTCACAACAGCACACATGTCTGCTGTTGCTGCTGCTGATGATCACACAGGCAAGTGTATGCACACCGGTACCAATGACGTACACATTGGCTAATTGCTGTAATATTCATCCCACATATCCAGTCATATTTTACATGTTCATGTTTATGACAGATTAATGAAGTCACTATAACAGTTATTACAACTATCATCGTCTTATTATTAATTATTGATGTAGCTAACGTCACAATCCCACACATATTAACAACACTTTCCAAGACCCAAATGCTGAAGCACGGGAGGAAGGAAGCCCAAACACATGGACTAGTTGTTTTTAGCTCCTTGACGTTTGCTGAGTGCTTCCTGTAGAAGTGCTGAGCTGTAGAGCTCTCAGCCTTCCTCTTTCCAAACAGTCTGTGGTACACAGACGCAGGAGCAAAGTCCTGTAGCTCTATAAGCACTCCTTTTCAGACATTGTTCTAAACTGATAAGGTGTACCTAATTTATAATAATTATTATTATGTGTCTGCTCACCTAGGTGTACTGGAGAGAGTTTCAGGGCATGGTTTATCTGCAGAACTGTCGTATTGAACAGCTGCATGTGACCACATTTGGACACATTTTTGCCATGTCTCATGGTGCCCATATGTTCACAGATGAAGCATGTCGAAGAGCGTTTTGGCCAAGATGCCAACAAAGAGGTGCTGCTCCTGTGTCTAGGCATCTCGTCTGGACTGGGCCGGCTTATTTTTGGTGTAGTGGCTGACTATGTGCACGGGGTCAACAAGGTTTACCTGCAAGTGAGTGTTAAAGTGTGCTGAATTATCAATACATGCACTAAATTATCTAAAAAATGAAATCAGAAAAGATGATAAACACATGATCAAAGCAGCGTATTATCCTCAGTGGTTCTTAAATGCTTAAGGTCAGGTTAAGTTAGAAACTATTAACATTTATTCCATTTATATAATATCTATCATCTTATTAATCCACATAAGGCGACTGGGTACCATTTGATATGAACTTGCAAACAGACCCTATAACTCACACTAAGTCACATGCTAAAAGCTAATGCACACAAAAACGCATGCTAAACAAATGCTAATATGCACCACAGGTCTCCTCTTTCCTGGTCATTGGGCTCATGTCTATGATGATCCCTCTGTGTAATATCTTTGGGGGACTCATTGCTGTCTGTCTGCTCATGGGGCTCTTCGACGGTTGCTTCATCTGCATCATGGCCCCCATAGCCTTCGAGCTGGTGGGATCAGAGAATGTGTCCCAGGCCATTGGCTTCCTACTGGGCCTCATGTCAGTGCCCATGACCGTGGGACCCCCCATAGCAGGTAACCTCACTAAAGCTGTTCTGCAGTACAAACAAACAAAAAAACTATTCTGTATTTTTTCTTTACATAATAAGACAGGCTACATGGTTTGTCCTCTTATAGGGGTTAACACCTTTATCACACAAAATAGCTAATGGATCATATTTGTTTCCAAATGTGTTACCTCTATTTCAGTAACAGTAACATGAAACGAAACTCAAAGTGAATTTTTTAGTCAGGGCACTAGGTGATGTTAAGATGATTTTCTGTGTGCTTCAGGCTTTTTGAGGGACCGACTTAACAGCTACGACTTGGCCTTCTACCTTGCTGGCATCCCTCCAATGGTAGGTGGGGCTGTGTTGTGCCTCATCCCATGGGTGGAGGCTCGCCGGAAGCGACAGAAGGCTCAGGCCCAGGAGAGAGATGTCTCCCAGAAGATGCTGGACTCAGAAAAGGCTCAGGGAGATGATGACCCCCGAACAGGAGAGTCTGTCCTGTAGACAGACTATAGCTGGGAACACCTAAGTGCTTTATGAGAACATGATTTCAATCACAAAGAAGGAGTCTCAAACTGACTGAAGTTGATTTTAGTTTTGACATGGAGAATTGTACATTTAAATTGTGTCCAGTGGGAAGCAGCTCAGCGGCCAATGTTTCATCCAGCACCTATTCTATACAAAATACTATTGTTGTTTATTATATAATTGTATAATTAATGAACTAATTGCATACTATGTCAACTTAATTTATAGGTAAGTTAAAATGTTTACTAACTTTTCACTAAGCCCTCATCTTTCAACACTATTACATCAAGTAGGCTACAGCAATATTGTAGCAAACAAAGTGCAAAGTTGCACTGAGCTTAAGACTTGACTCAGACTTGTCCAAAGTGACTTGGACTCAAGATATTGTGACTTGACTACCACATTGGTATTAATCAATTGTATTAATACATTTTTACAGGTTTTTAATGCATTGAGATCCACTAAACCTTGGTGAGCCATTATTCTCTGAGGGTGGAGACTTTTCAGGGCTGGCTTACTTTAATAATTTCTTTAGTATCAAATCTCACTTTATACTGTTCCTTCCCTTGATCATATGATGAGTTAACTGAATAGATGTCAAAACACCCTTAGTATAATTTTATTTTTGGCAGTTCCATTGGTGGGCAAATGGAAATATAGACTACTTTACTCCCTTATTCACAGTTATTCACTGCTCATTGAAATAAATTGGTTAGGTTTGTTTAATATTAAAAAGCAAACTACACTGTCAGAGTACTGTGTAGCCTATGTGAGCACATACTATTCAGTCATTTTAAAAATCTTAATTTGAGATTGACCGTAACAGTATTTCTACACAAATTTGTGTGTATATTGTTTGTGTAATGTAATGTAGGATGCCTTTGGAGCATTTTTATGACAGAATGATTGGAAATCACATGCTTGTAAACTCATGACACATTACCTGTATTGGGCAGTTTTAGATAATTTACAGTGTTAAAGCCTTCTGCCCTTTAATCAAACAATATAAGACTTATCTGTACATTTTATTTCTCTGTGCCCCTGTGAAATCCGGAGTGCTGCAGACTGCGAGTAGGTCTGATATCTGTCTCCATCTACTGGCCTGGGAAACTCTTGTTTTACACAGTTTGCCTTAATGCCCTATTACCCTTAACTTTTCTCTGCTTTAATATTGGAGTTTACTTGACTATGCTGTAACCAAAGTGCCTGACATATCTTCTTATTCCAGAATGCTGGAAGGCCGGAGTCCTCTTATTGCATTGTGTATGATGTTAATGTTTTATTGTCATGGGTTTTCTAGAGAGGCTTACTTTTTATATACCTGTCTTTTCTGAACACATGTTTCAATTCATATTTTCATATTTTGAGCCCAGTAAAATGATTTGCATAACTACTGTCTGTCCATTTATTGTAGTGGTTTCTTGTTGCTGATTCTTCATTTCCTCATCAGCAGCTCTGGGCTAATCCAAAGTTGTTTGTAATCGTCTAGTGTTAAAATTTTACTTGATCTTCATTGGAGTGGGAACAGCCCAGCGTATCAGATGTGTTTTTATTAGTTTTAATAAAGCGAAGTTCATGTGTGGATCCATAAAACGAAGATCCATGGACATTACCCGTGATGAGATCACGTAAGGTTACGTGCGTGATGCTTTGATCAAACAAAGTATGATCCTTTTCGCTCGCCATTGCAGCTCAACCCATGGATGGCGCCACGAAACACAAGCACGTCCGTTTCGCCACTATGGAGAACGAAACCGAGGATCAGGGGGATGACACACTGTTTGACAGGTGCACGGAGAATGACAAAAGCCTCGACATTGCGTTTAACAAGCCCAAGAGAAGTCCCGGAGCGGCGAGCCCAGCGCCTGCAGAGAGCACTCCCGGCAGACGGCGCTGGCTCACTACCGCTGCGCTATGCGTTTCTTTCTTAGGATTGGTAACTATTTTATGAATAATTACGTTTGTCATTTTCTTTTAATTGATGATATTGTAGGCTCGCGAGAACCTCAGTTTCTACCATCAGTAACACTAAGATTTTAACTGAGTCTGAGTTCAAGTTGCATTGTTGTCGTTTGTAACTTGATTACCTCGATATCTGTTTGAATTGTGTGTTGATTTTTGCTGCAGGGGATGAGTATTGCAGTTATTGGCCCCACATTTCAGGATCTGGCTATGAATGTTCACCAAAACATTAGCAACATCTCATATATATTTGCGGGCCGCTCTGCGGGGTACATTGCTGGCTCCCTGCTGGGGGGCACACTCTTGGACTGCTTGAACTCTTACCTGCTGCTAGGTAATACTGTCTACATCGCGCACCATGAATGCCTTCTGCTTACCATTAACTCTCTCTCTCTTTAGGGCTGGCCATGCTGCTGACAGCATTGGGGTTGTGTGCAATTCCATTCTGCCGACAGGCGCTGGTCCTTACCATCTTTATGGCGTGCATTGGCATCTCCATGGGTGTCCTGGACACAGGTGGGGTCAAGTACAATACACTTTCATGCTACTTCACTTAATCTGTTTTGTACTGATGAAAAATTCTGTACACCCTTTTAAGAGGTGGGGGGCTTTAGTTATAGAATGTCTTATTTTATTGTCAATGTTTAACCTAGTGTTATCGTGCTATTATGTTTGATGAGTCACTAAACTCTCATTTATGTGGTGCGTCCCAAAGAAAATTATCATATCTGCCAAGTCAAATGGAACAGGACAGGCAGGCCTAAAACTTCCTCATCAAGCCCTAGAGGTTACATTTGACAATGACAACTTATTTTAATTTAAAATAAAAATAAAATTAAATTATTTTATTCCTGCTGTGATCGTGAAAGCATAGATATTGAAGTATTTTTTATAAACTAATTTTGTTAGGCATCTGTACCTCACTCCTTGTTAATAAGAGCTTTGAAAACTTTGAAAGTTCAAGACATTTTACTACCTTATGTGTGGGAGATGCCTGAGGGATGAGAGTTGGATACAAGGAGAAATTGTGAAGAGATGGGTTTTGAGTTTAGAGTTATCAGGGAGGGATCACCAACAGCTCATTGTACAGACCAAAAAATTTTATATTTATAATTCCCCTGTGAAATATATAAATGAACAATAATTTAAGGTATGAAGAATTGCAGATAACCCAAAAATAATGCATGAACAATATCAGTCAAACATTTAAGGTATATTTATCAGCTCATTTGTAAAGGCTACTGTTTGTGTGATCCTTAGGTGGGAACGTGCTGGTTCTGAGCACCTGGGGAGAACAGGCAGGCCCGCACATGCAGGCACTTCACTTTAGTTTTGCAGCTGGAGCTTTGCTGTCACCCATCATTGCTCAGCTCCTGTTTGGGGGCTCCCAAAACTGTAGTTCAGTGGCTACAAATGTGTCAGCCCAAGTGCTCAGCCCAGTGAAGGCTGTCCAGAACTGGACCGACCTGCGCTCCATGTGGGCTTATGTGGTCATCAGTCTGTTTGTTTTCCTCTCAGCACTGCTTTTCTTTGGGATATACTGCTGCGCTGCAGGGTCAGGGAACAGAGCCCACTCTGTGTCAGAAAAGCCCCAGGTGGCCAAATACCACACAGCCATTGTAGTCCTGCTCTTCTTATTCTTTTTCGCTTATGTGGGGGCAGAGGTAGCGTACGGCTCTTTCATCTTCACCTTCTCTAAAGATTATGTGCGACTAGAGGAAGCTGAGGCAGCAGGAATCAACACTCTTTTCTGGGGGAGTTTTGCGGCATGCCGTGGTCTGGCCATTCTGCTTGCATCGTGTTTGTCTCCTGGGACTCTCATCACTCTTAGTCTGGTGAGCTGCTGCCTATCCTCTCTGCTGCTTAGCCTGTTCTCTCACCACAGAGCCATGCTGTGGGCTGGAACTGGTCTGTATGGTGCTTCCATGTCAGCGGTTTCCCCAGTGGGCTGTCGTGGGTGGAGCAATACACGCCTGTGACCGGACATACAGCAGCTGTGTTGGTGGTTGGTGCTGCAATGGGGGAGATGGTGTTACCTGTTCTTCTGGGTTTCCTCATGGGACACATTAGTAGTGAGCCTTTGCTAATGTACCAAGCTCTGGCCTGTGCCATCCTCTGCTCCATCCTCTTTCCTGCAATGTACCATCTGGCTGTAGCCTCAGGATCTCGTGCCCAGGGTAATGATGGAGACAAGGAGTTTTACCGGGCACTGTTGCAGCCTGAGCCTGAGGACTCTGATGTTTTTGAGATGGACACTTCTCTGAACTCTCCTCACTGGGATGACCATAGAGAATGAAGAATGAATGAAGAGAAGCCTTATCAGAAGACTGGGCAGGCAGAGCAGAGAAGAAACTGAACCCAAAGAGCAGACTGAATGTTTCCCTTGTAAATTTGAATTTGTACTCAAATTCTGCATTCTCCAACCATAGGTATGGAGGCCCTTGGAATACGCAAGGCTACATGCACTTTGCAGTACAATGGCACAGCTTTTGGAATTGTATAATTGATTTACAGTACATTTATTTAAAGATAATTCATTATTTTACCTGCTGAGAATATAGTTTTAGAATTCCATCTTCTATAATTGTTAAGCATGAGCTTAGGGTCATGTCTAGGTGTTTCTTCTGCTTAAAATACTAATTAAATGTGCATTAAATAATTCTGTCCTTTAATCCCTTACTGCCAGATAAAGGGGATTTTTAAGGACAAATGTAAAAGGATTGAAATATATATATTTTTGTATTATACTGATTTACAAAAATACTTGGATTATAATTAACCATAAATCTGATTCATAGTCTTGGTTGAGGTACGGTAAGTAAATCTGAATGGACTGAACTATGTCTTCTTAGTGAGACACTGTCCACTAATGGCCACAAATATTGTGATTTAAGGCAAATGGCTTACTAAAAGATCTGTAGGTAGTGGCTCTTTCATTTTGACATTTTTATGTTTAAAATCTCACCTACATGTATGAGTATTGTTAGTTCTGAAGTGAAACTGAATTGAGTTAAGAGGGCCAAATTATGCAGATTTAATTGAATGTAGTTTTCAGTTTGGGTGTGTGTTGTGATAACTGACATAAACCATATCGTTGTTGATTTAATACTTCTCTGCACACAGTTCCCATTACAAACAGGTCCTTCACAGGTCTTTGTACATTTTGACTCCTCTCCAAACTGAGGTTTTCAGCACAAATGTCTTACAGAATGAGTAACGCAAGAAAATAGTTGTTCAACTAATTATAGGCATTATTGCAACAGTCCCAGGCTTAAAAGTCCTTTGCACTCTTCCTCCACATGAACAGCACAGCACAGAGACAATACTCTGAGCAGTCAAAGCAACAGATAGATCCAAACACCATTTAAATGGTTTGAAATGATGGGAACCAATCAGAACTGTTCTAGCAGCTGTCGGAGGTATGGGGCCCTCGACAGCTGTCTGCCAACCCGGGACAGTTTGTAGAGTACGGGACAGTCCAAAGAGACACAGGGCACTTGTCGTTCAGTGCAGCCACTGCAGTTCCGGCAGATCTGAAGGACAAAGCATTAGTCAGTTCAGCCCATCACACTCGAACAAGGATCTTTTTTATCTTCCAGAGAGCTACTTTTTGAAAAACAAAATAACAGCTACTACTGTTATACTGACTCAGTTTCTCTGATCTTTTACAATGATAGATAGCCTTAGACAGGGTACAGTTTGATAACTTAGTGAAAAGGATGCTTATAAGTTACTTATAACTTATAAGTAACTTATAACTGTCTGAAGTATACATTTACAATCATAATGGGCAAGAGATTAATCAAATTTAAATGATCCAGGGCGATATGTTTAATTCCAGAATCTTTTGAGGAGCTATTTGGGAGGGAGTGGAGAGCTACTAGCAGTGCCTTCGCTACCAGTTAGAAGACCCATTCATTAGAAGAATACAGTAACTGGGCCCTGAGCTCACCTGCAACAGGTCATCCTGTTGGCTCTCACAGTCCCTCAGGTTTGACCACAAAGTGACTGCAACACGCTGCGGCTGGCTTCTGCAACTGGAGCACACGCCCAGCTGTGTGAGCTGGTCACATACAGGACAGTGCAGCGTGGTGAAGTATTGAGAGATGGTGCCTTTCCTCCCGGCCTCTAGAGAGCCCCCTCCTGCAGATGAGCACCAGGCCTTTTGGACCTAAAAGGAACCAACTGTGTTTGAGACAGAGTTGTGCTGTGTCTCTCTGCCACCTGCTTCTCATACTAAAGAACAATTCCATGCAAAGCAATATCATCTCTATGGAGACATGCGCTAGACCTCAGTGCACATTTATCCATCTTTCAGGTATTTTTACTCTGAGCTGGACCTTGGTCTGGCAAGAAAAGGCCCTGCTCCATCTCCTACCACTTTGCCATAGGTGTGAGAGGACAGCCCTCTGAAACTCTTAAAGTTATTAACAATTACTTAATAAACTTAAAGCTAGCCTAGTGAAATTGCAAATTCTGTATAAGATTTACTGTCTGTTCACTCGTCTCGCCTCTAATTAAAAGTGATGCCGTCTGTGTTATCTTTCCCTGTTTTGTTAGTCGTAACCAGACTTCACTGTTATGTGATTATGCTCACTTGAACACTGACTTTATAATAAACCACCTCTTAACAAGCCAACCATTCACATGTTTGTAGAGCTATGGGGTATAGTTCTTTGGCAGTGTGTGGGGAGTGTGTGGGGAGTGTGTGGGAAGTGTGTGGGGGGGTGAGTGGGAGGGTGTGGGCTTCTCACTCGAGGCAGCTCCTGGTACCAGCTGAACACGTCTACTCCAATAAGCTGGAAGATGCGGGCGATGGGAGGCAGGATCTGTTTGGTGATATAGTAAGTGGCATTGGGGCGCAGGCTGGGGTCCTGTAGCACCTCCATGGGTCGACGAACCAATTGGATTAGAGGTAAACCGGGCATACCGTAGATTATCACATAGGGCACGCGCTCACCCACTCTGGGCTCCTGCCGTCGATCATACACCATCATTCTCCTTTAACACAAAACATGTTTCAGCTTCACTTGGACAGACATGTATCAGTGTTAAAAAAAAATATATAAAAAATCACAACTGAGCCTGAGTTGCCAGTGCTTTAACCTGCACATCAACACACATACAAGTCGTTCTCATTCTCAGTATATGGAGAGTCCATGCCTCATGTGAAAGCTCAATGAATTCCATTACTGAGCTGCAGAGGCTGCACATGCTAATTAATGATTGGCTGCATTTGTTGGGGTAAGGGAGTGAGGATACAGACTAGTTTGTTTAAACCCAAATTACAGATTGTGTCATTCTGTTTTCTGACTGGATAATCATCTTAAAAAACACAAGTTATTACAAAAAAAATTTCTGTCACAAGTCCATCATAAGCAATATTTTTGTAATTAAATTAATCAGCATTTGCATTGTTATCAGTACATTTGATTTGAACATATTTATCTCTTATCTGGGGACAGATACAAGGAAGGACAGTAATATTTATGAAATCTAAAATCAAAATTTAATCTAATGCCCCTTTAAAATATTGTTTATGTGATTTCTGAGCCTACAAAATGCAATAATGCTCAGAGGAAAGAAGCAGATTTATACTGTTGCCACTCTGGCCTTTGTCACTCTATACATCCCATATTACAGTAACATGACAGACCTGGTGAGCTCCAGAGCAGGCACACAGGCTCCAGGGCGGTATGCTCCAGCCCCACGGTACTCTTTGGCAAAAGTTAAGTCCTGGACACTGGCTCGGCCCTCCAGTACTTTGACGCACTGCCGCTGGACAAACTGCTTGACCTGGCTGATGTCCCGTGTATCAAACAGCAGCTTAATGGACCTCTCTAGGATCTAAAAACACAGTAAACTGATACTTCCAGAATAGAACATGGACAGTCCACTGTTCATATGGATTAGCTGCTGAGTGAGCAGTGGTGTGCGGTATGCAGGATACCTTGGAAACAGCAGGACAGCCATCTCGGCGCACTGTCTCTATGCCTTTGGCATCAAAAACAGGCCTTATCTGGTCCAGGCTCTCATACATGTATCCCACATATCGCTTTTTAGTCTGAAGCACGCAGGGGAGATACACCTGTACACAGTCTCAGTCAGTTCAAGCACACTTTTTACTAGGCCTATTTCAACACTCTCACCTTTTCAAACTTCAATTTCACTGGTTTTGGGTTGGTAGCTGTCACAGCCTCAGCAATCTCATTCCCAATCTTAAAGGCTTGCTCTTTAGTGACTCCCTTCAGCAACACAAACATGCTGCAAGATCCAAGACATTACTCAACACTTCTACATACTGGCAAAGCAAAAATACATTGGAGACAACGCTAGGCCCCAATAATAGATAACCTCTATACTAGTAATATACTAATATTATGAAAAAGCTCAATACTTTTTGTCACTCAGTTCAGAAAAATCAAAACTGTGTATTATATAAATTTAATACGCATAAAGTGATGCTTTCAAGCCATTATTTCTTGAAATTCTGATGATTATGTCTTACAGATAAAGAAAACCCCAAATTTAATGTCTCAGAAAATGTGCATATTATATAAGGTCAATAAAAAAGGATATTATAAACAGAAATAACAGGCTTCTGAAAAGTATGTTAATTTCTATGCATTCAATACCTTGGCCTCGTTTGGCAAGATTTAGTGCATCATTGCGGCATGGAGGCCTGTGGCATTACTCAGGTGTAATGGAAGCCCAGGTTGCTTTGACAGCTGCCTTCAGATCATCTGCATTGCTAGGTCTGGTGTCTCTCATCTTCCATGGGGTTCAGGTCACATGCTTTTGCAGGTCAAGCAAGCACAGCAGCACCATGGTCATTGAACAGAGCTTTTGGCTGTGTGGGCAAATGCCAAGTCCTGCTGGAATGAAATCAGCATCTCCACAAAGTTTGTCAGCAGAAGGAAGCAGTAAGTGATGTAATGTGTCCTGGTAGATGGCTGCGTTGACATTGAACATCAAGTAGCTGTGCCTCTTTACTGATCCTCCAGACCCTCGGACCTTGATTTCCAAATCACATGCAAAATTACTTTCTACTGAAAAGAGACTTTGGTCCAAGTGGACAGGAGCGGGAGTCCAACAGTCCAGTTCTTTTTTTCTCCACAGCAGGTAAGACACTTCCGACATAGTCTCATGTCCCATGTAGGCTTCATCTGTGCGTAGTGGCTCTTGATGTGCTGACTCCAGCCTCAGTTCACTCCTTATGAAGCACAAATTCTTGAATGGGTTTTGCTTAACAATTCTGTCAAGGCTGCAGTCATTTCTTTTGATGGTGAACCTTTTCCTACCACACTTTTTTCTTCCACTCAAGTTTCTCTGAATATGCACTGATACAGCACTCGGTGAACAACCACCTTCTTTAACAATAACCTTTTGTGGCTTACCCTCCTTGTGAAGGGTGTCAGTAACTTTCTTCTGGACATCTGTCCAGTCAGCAGCCCTTCCCCATGATTGTGTAGCCCACTGACCCAAACGGAGAGAACATTTGCAGTTGTTTTGGAAAGTCATGGAGTCACGTAATCAGCTAATTAGCTCAAATTTTACACAATATTCAAATTTTTAGAGCTTCACTCTATGTGTCATGAGTCTATATAATATATGGGTTTGACTTTCTGAAATGAGAAACAAAAAATATTGAACTTTTTCATGATAGTAATTTTTTTGAGATGTACTAGTATGTACTTCTGTATTAATTTCAGCCATGAGATATACAATTTTACTCCACGCTATGAAAATAATTACAAAGACAATTCTACAATGATCAACTAATTTACACAGAGACAATTACTTTTTTTCTGCAATGTCCAATTGTCAGGATGTTGGCTCATGGGTTACCTGTCTGTATCTCCATAGACCACCTTGGCACCCCATTTCTTGGTCTCATTCACCATCTTGATAGCTCTTTCCAATGTCTCCCTGGCTTTGTGAACAATGCTATCCCCAACCTGTTACAGAACACATCGTCAATGGACTTCTTCCAAATAGGGATTGTGAGAGGATGCACCTACCTCAACGCTGGGCATTCGTCCAGAGTAGTTTGCTGCAGTGTAACCAAAGGTGACGTTGGCAATCAGTTTGAGGCCAAGCTGCCGTGCATCCAACAGCTTTAGCAGAGCCTTGTCATTCTTGTAAGTCTTCATACATTGTTTAACCATGATACGAGTGTTGAGGATCTCCTCTAGCATGCTGGGCAGGATGCCTTTACGCACAGATGACTGCAAAAAAGAAAAAAAGAAAAAAGTACATTAACAAGCAGAATATCAGACAAACTGTCAGATGTAGAGCACTTACCTTGACAAAAGCAATCCCATTGGGTGACACAGTGATCTCATGACGTAACTGGTGGAGGAGATAGGGGGGAACTCTGAGGGATGTACAGCCAAACTTAAACTCATCAGGCCTGAAAAAGAAACTCAATTTAACGTCTCTAACGGATGTGCTCGGATAGAATCTCACCATGAGTATGCAAGTTGAATACAAAAAACTTTATCCCTTGTGTGGTTTTATCCAATTCATTTGTGTCACAGTCTGGAATTCGATTGCATGTTGATGTAAAATATGCCAAAGCCATGAATGTATTGATACAAGTGTTATCTGTGGTAACTGGCACTAAACCAAATGTACACATCTCGAGGTTCAAATTTGGCTTGCCTTTAATTTTAATAAAGCTTATAGAGTCATTTTAATCAGTTGGAGTCCATGTTACATAAATTTCCTTGAACTATGAAAGCAACAACCATCTTTCTTCATTAATTACACCAAGAACTAAAATAATAAGAATCTGAAAAATAAGACCATAAGCAGCTCTTCCTTACGTTCCAAGACTGTCCATGTGTCCCAAACAAGTGGAGTAGCAGTAGTTGTAGGCGATGACGATGGAAGGATAAAGAGACTGGAAATCCAGCACCACCACAGAGTTACTGTAGAAGCGCGACTCTGGCTCCATAACCAAAGGAATGCATTGTGGCGCCCTCTGCTGGGCTCGCTGCTGCACACTTGGAGTCACGGGGATGTAATTAAGGGGCTTGGCCACACGCAGCATCATGGACTCCACCCGGTACTAAGACACGACCGGGACACACATAGCAACGAATCAGAGTAGAAAAGGTTAGGTAAAAGCACAGACAATTATCTAGTATATAGTGTCTTTGTATTATTGAGACCTGTGAGCCACGGGTAAGAACATGGTAGAACTGGATGCCAAAGACTCGTGCCAGTTCACTGGTTCGGCCAATAATGTCCTGTTGCTGAAGAAGCCGCATGGAGCCTCGTACTCTACTGACATAATGATCCACCATTTTCCACCTGTAATATACAAAGAATTTCAGTTAATGGCACATATAGTATCTGTTAGGAACTACATAAACTGTATACCCACACCTGTGGAGGTCAGTGTTGTGGTCAAACCAGTCAGAGAGAGTGCGATGGCTGTACAGAGGGAAGCGCTGGTGCAGTACATGAAATGCCACATTCTCAAAGGTATAGTTATTCAGTGCCACCTGCAAAGCAATACACGGTTATAAGCAAAATTATTATGAAGCTACTCAGATGAGTGGTTAAACATATTCAATCTGAGTGTCCAGTTGACCTAATTTTACCTCCTGGATGAATAAGAAATTACACATAACACATGATACATGGATAATGATAATAATTTCATTTACTATCTAAAAATTGAGGGTCATTAAAGCTGGGGTATCGGATTTTAAAACTATGAAAAAGGCCAAAGAATATGGTCTAAACTGTTACACATTGCTTACGACTAACCTCTAGATCTCACAAATCCTTGGCACATGGAAATTAAACATTGAAATAAAATAACTAACTAACTAACAAACACGATTCTTTCAGGCACTCTAGAACAAGCTTTATTTAAGTGGGACGAAACACCTACACTCTGCCCACAACCACATTTCAAACAGAGCTGCTTACTGGTACTTGGAGGACTAAAAAAAAGAATGAATTGAAAGGAGGGGCAAGGTCTTGAGATTTAAAGAATAGTGTGATTGATTGGTCTAACAGGTAGGAACCCACACTTCAAACTCTGCCCCTGCAACTGGAGTTTGTAATCAGAAACGCAGGGTGGAGGCGTGTGATGTCATCTCAGTGCAATATACCCAAAAATTGGTTACCCCAGCTTTAAGGAGCAATTGGTGCAAATGGAACACCTGCCTCATATTTCATTATCCTCCATAGATTTAGCATGATACGCCCAACAATGTGAATTTCTGTCATGGTGTCAGCGCCATACTCATCCCGTTCTGCAGCAAAGCGGTTGTCTTTGGTGTCACCTAAAGACAGTGAGAAAACAAGTCTGACAGAGCCCAAAGTAATCATGTGTAAGTGTATAGAGTGCACGGCTACAGGAAAGCTTGGCAGTACCTGGGATGCGGGACAGTTGCTGACACAAGTCTACTCCCAGTGCAGACGAGCGCTGTAGGAGATAGCCCCAGGAATGCATCTGAACCTCATACCCTAGCAGCATGTCAGGGTCATACCTGTCACACAACACATTACACACTGACCATAGTTCACAGACACCCAATCAGACTACTCCAATTTCAACAGCAATACTCTATATGTTTTTTTTGTCTTTCACTTTATGTGTCGGAAAAGCACCTTCTGACTACTGTAACAAGCTCGTCAAACAGACTCAGCTCATTGGGCACATAGGTGACCTGCAGACCAGTCACTCCCGAGCGTACCAAGAGGGGAGCACACCCTCGATGACCTGGATACACACACTGATAAGAGTAACAATAATATTAACTTATCTAATTGCTGCAAGTTTATTGTACCACCTTGTGCCTGGCTTGGGTGTTCTGTCTCCACCACAATAGCCCCGGTGACCAGGTTGTCTGAGGCACCGGGCAGAGGGACGTCCGAGCTCAGGCAGTAGAATAAAGCACAGATGGAGTCAAATTCTGGATCAGGTTCCAGGTCACGACGCGTCCGAGCATGCAACTCCATGGCCATCAGAGTTATGTACTGCACCTAAAAAGCAAACCAGACAAGTTTTTGTAGACTGTACAAAGGGGCGGCTTGGGGTCATACATTTATCACATACTCCAAAGTATTAATTATTGCATGCTTAGAAGTGGAATAGTGCACTCTACAGAAAGAAATTAAATAATCAAAGAAATCACCACTTGAGAACAACTCCCACTAAATAAAGTAGAAGTGTGAAAAGTTTCAAAACACCAAGACACCATCAAACAATACAATAAGTTTCAACTGACATGAGGGTTTGAGGGCATGAAGGTTTCAAAGATAGTCATCTGAACACCCTTTTTGACATTTCCACTCTCATCCATCCATTTTCAGACAATGACTTTTGGATGCCCCTTTGAAACATTTTCTACCTAGTACCGCTCTTAGATGAATGAGGGATTGCGAATTACGGATCAACTCTTTAAAATTACATAATAAAAAAACCCTAAAACAAATAGTATATCAATCAGAAAAGTATAATTGAATATTTAATTAAATGTTGGCAGCTTGTTTAAAGACACTGGCCATTATTAATGGACCAAAAATGCCATATCAATGGTTATTATTTACATATCCTAATTATTACATCCCCACTACTCACCTCATGTAGAGCTTTGGCCTCCTGCAGATTCTGCATGCTGACTTTGAAGCCATATGAATTTGCTATGCTTGGTCCTTCAATCTGGGAGTTCTCCTTTCTTGGTATATTCAGATTTGCAAACTGATTCTGCCAAAAACAAATTAATTTAAATTGTCAGCTGTATCTAGAGCCTAGGAGCAAACAAACTGTGAAGCACCTTGATTTGGGAACTGAGGATGAGCCTATGCAGAGGTTTGGCTTGGCTCTTCCTCTCCTGCTGCTCTTGCACACTGACAACGTCCTCTACATAGGAAGCAAAATGGAGTTGTGACCAATGGAAACATCACATAAATATTTCATTACTTAAACTACTAGCACCTCAATTTTTTTCTCTATCCAACTGATAGTGGATAAAGTTCTGATTTAATATTAATTAAGCCATTATTAACCTATGAAAATTCATACAACTTCGCCAAGAGTCCACTGAAAATGGTGTTTGCTAAATTCGAGGTGAATAAACTACATCTGCATCACACGAACTGTAAGTAGGATAACGCTGCTTAAAAAAGTTGGTTCATACAGCTAATTAAGCAATTACGATCACCATTTTAGGGTCAACCAGTTAAAATGGACATTTTCTAGGGCACCATGGGGAGAACATATTGAATTCCCTCAAAATGTATATTGTCCAAGAATATATTTTGATATTTTAGCAGTAAATACTACTAAAGCGTTCTCTTCCTTAATCACAGTAGGTTTAAATAGTAACAAGTCAATGAATATTGCTCTTACTCTCAAGGATGGGTGTGCTGCAGACAGGTGGGGTTTTCATGGTGAGGGGGCTGTCCTGGCTGTGAGGAGTGGCATTCACATGACCTGGGGAGCTGGACCCCCTTAATGGGTGCCCTGAGCTCAGGGGTGATTGTTGGCTGCTTTGAATTGGTTGCTGCCATGGCGGAAGATCAGGGCTGTCGGGAGAAAGAACTTCCATGTCTTCTTCGTTTAACACCAGATCAGTGTCTGAAGATTCGGAATTCTTTAGAGGAGAAATTGGTGTAGATGAGTAGGGCCTCTCATGCTGTGTCCCAAGAATGGGCTGGATACACAGCTGGGGTGCCTCCTGTTCTTCTGAAGCCTTTTTTTCTTTTTCCAATTGCCTGTGTCTTCTGTGTGCCTCCAGCCAGAGCTGCACGCGTTGCCTGCTCGGAGGGCTTTTACAGGGCAGCAGCATAACTTGTTTGTCGCTATCTGAGGATTGAGCTGGTCTTCTGGTCTTGAGGCCGACTGTGGCACAGGGTAGGCTCATAGCTGAAAATGCCGTCTTCCAGAAATGCAGGCCATCCACGGACAATTCTCCAGTGAATTCTGGGAGCTCTGAGGTCAGCCTGGTGCCAACAGTCAGCTTACGGCCCCCAACTTCCCTGAAACAGTCACAAAATTGCTTTATATTTATTACCATTCAAAATACCATTGCTGATGGATATAGTGTATACTTACATGGGTTTTCCCGGAGCATCAGAGGGATCACTACAGAAGGGCTCCTCAAAGGTGGCCTCTGATATCTCCAAGTCTTTAAGTGTCCCACAGAGTTCCTCTCTGCTGGGTGGAGACATGAGGGGCTTCAGGATGTTGGTCCCCCGAGGACTGGCTCTGGCCTGAGATAGAGAACTGACAGAGCGGGGTGAGCTGCTAGGAGTGCTGGAGGTCAGGCCATCAATGCCCTCCAAGAGATCACTGGTGGGAGAGATATCAGCAAAGGACACAGAAGTCAGGGGTAATGGATCCAGTGATGAGAAGAGAAGCTCCTTTCTCTCACAGTGGAAGTCCTTGAAATGGCTGTGGGCCTCTCTTGATGTCAAGTCCCACTCTGTGCTTTTGACTTGATCAGAGTCTGAGGAGAGGGTGGTTCCAGGCTCAGTGTTTTCTGGTCGGTCAAAGTCTTCTGGACAGACACTAATTTTGTGAAGATCCTCTCCTAGACCCAACACCCTGTTTCACAAAGACATACACTTTATCATCACAGTAGTACAGCATGCTGTATAATAAATAGAAGTACTGAGTACTATGTTAAATTATTAGGTCTGGCCCATGAATTACTCTGATTAACCCATATTTCTTTGGACTGTACAGCAGGATTACAAGTACAACATGCACTGTATTCTTTAATGAGAAACAAACAACTCACCTGACATTCTTCTTCTCTGGGACTAGAGTCTGAGATGTAAGGCCATCCTGAGAAGCATCACTCAGGAACTTGAGGGGAAGGTTCTTATCAGTTAGGACAAACTGACTGCTGCTGTATGGGCAGCAGAGGTCTGCCTGGTCTATGGCATTTATATCAAAGTTGTTGTGTGGAAGTTCTGGTGACAGACTGTCTTCTATGAACTTACAACTGTCCAGGTGTGATTCTGACAATGTGGGGCTTTCAGCTTGTTTGTTGCTTCTTATGCCTTTCCTAGACTTTTTGCATTTAGGAGCAGTAGATTTTGCAGGTCTAGATTTGTAGTCATGTAGTGACGAGTTCTGTTCTTGGGATCGTTTCTGCAGCAGTTTCTTGAGAACAACCACGCCAGGAGGGCCATTTGAGAAAGCTGGGAGTGGCCCATGCTGTTCAGATTCTGACAGAGGAGACAGTGTCACAATTGCCTTTGACTGGTCTGCTTCTACACAAGTGCCTGAAAGTCTGTCCTGATCAGGCTGGGAAACACGATTGTTCACTTCCATTACCGAGGCATCGCATTCAATTTTTGGTTGTATGGATTTGGGTGCAGAACAATTTGCATTCAGAACACATGGTTCTGTTCCAACTGGGTGCAGAAATGGAGGTACCTCCTGTGAAGGGCTTAGAGAAAGAGCTGTGTCCTCTTCAAGTGGGAGTGGTTGGGAGCTGTTTGCAGCTTCTGTGTGGTCTTTAGGCACTTCAGTCTTCTTTTTGCTGTAAGTCCTTGGTCTAGTATAGTACTTTGTCGTCTTTTCAATTCTTTTCAGTTCTTTTTTTCTTGTCGTTACATTTTTGGTCTCACAATTAAAAGATTTACCTAGACATTTACTTGTTCTTTGAGCAGAGGTTTTTGTTGGCTTGACAGCTGAACACTTCCTTGGTAGGGTTTTAGTGGCATATACAGAAGCTGAACTAAGACAGGGGTCACTCAGGGGGTTTATCAAATGTTCAGGGATAGGGTTTTCTAACATTAGTGGGTCACTAGGTGACCAACATCTTGGTGGGGTAGAATCTCTAGGGCTCAGAGATGTATCTGAGAGGTAGCCCAACTCCACCATGACATCAGAATAGTGAGAATCATGGTCCTGGGCCAACTCACAGTAGCAGGGTCGAGGAGGTGGCAGGGAGGGGAGATACAGTTCTCTCTTACAGTCCCTTTCAGACAATTTAAATGGTGGTTTACTAAAGTTTTTCAACACTTTTTTGACAGGTTTGCTCTTTCGTCTAATGTATTTTTTTGATTTTGTCTCAAGAATTGGAAACCTCAAAGCTGGAGATTCTGGGACTTTGGGCCAAAAGTCTTTGAGAGGGGCTAGTTTGTTGTATAGTTCCAACTTTTCATGTGTTAACAAGACTCTCTGCTCCTCTGCTTGGATTTTGGACACTTTAACCAGCATATTCTTCTCACCTTTAAACCTGTTGATTATGATGTACTTGATGATGACTGGTGGCTCTTTCCTGCAACGCTTTTTGCTTTTGTAGTCTTGAGGAGAAGTGCAACTGTCTTTGGGACGCTCTGAGATAGAAGTGAGAGTTTTTACACCAGACGGTTCCCCCTCCTCAGTTTCACGGATCATTTTACGTTTAGCTCTTAAAGCATACTTGCTTCCAGGAAGTGCACTAGTCACGACAGAGCTAACTTCGGCTGGTACAGTAGGGTCTTCAGAGCAGCTAGGGGAACATGGAGGAGGGGGTTCTACTGTAGTTTTAACCTGTTCATTTTTTTCATCCGATTCTTCCTGTTCACATTTGGTTACAGTCTCTGTTGTTGTTGGATGTTTGCTCCCTTCTGCAGCTGTTGTTTGAGAATCATCTGTATATAATGTGTCTGAATCAGCAGAAGCTGTTGCTGTGTCCAGTCCAGCGATAACATTTGTGTTCTCAAGGGAACCATCTACTGGGTCCATCATTACCTTCTTTTTGTTCAGCTTTAATCGTGATCTTCTGGGCTGAGTGTCTTCAAGCTTGTTGCAAGTATCAAGCACTTTTTTGTTTCCCGATTTTTTCCTGTTAAGGCAATTGGAGAGGATGACACTAGGGAAAAACTTATAATGAGCTTCTTGTTGTGCCACGATTGTCTTTTCAGTCTTGTTCTCCCTGTAGTCTTCATAGCAAATTTTGAGTTCGCCCACATGGCCCTCTTCACTAGTGTGCCCTGTGTTCTGTAGCATAGTAGAATGGACCATAACCTTCATGTTGCTCTCCTTCTGACTAATTTCAAGATCTCCTTTATTTGAACAGTTTCTTAACCCAGAATAACAAAATAATGTCCTGTGGTTTTGGAGCATAGGCAGACAGTGTGTCTCCACACTCTTAAGACTGTCAAATGCATTACTGTTTTTAGTAGCTTTTCCAGGACCAAATGGTAAAATATCAAGATCAGTCTTGTCCAAACTAACAGAGGCATTTTTGAAGAGTGTTCCATTGCCCTCCTGACTGAGACTGTTTGGAGAAGCTCCAGCTGCTCTTGCTGACTTAGAGGAGATAGGGTGTTTGACTGGTGGGATGTAGGGAATATCTTTGTTAACTCTAGATCCACCTGGAAGATCACTGCTGGTATGAGCGCTGCCCGTTATTTCAAAATGCTCGTTGGCAAGGGGCTCAGAGTCTTGCAACTGAGGGTGTTTGCAGTCCAAAGGAAATGCATTCCTCTTATTGTGCATCCTCTCTGTAAGTGATGACTGGCTCCTAGAGCTACTGTCCGTTAGAGATGAATCTGCAAACAAAACGAATGATTAAAGTCAGTTTTTTTCAAAGTGACTTAAATGTTACACTATTTAGTTTTCTGCTGGATGGCTGGAACCTTTCTACTTGATGAATTTATATTTTACATTTTTTAATATAAAATATTTACTCTATAAAACAATTGATGCATGTATGCAGTCAACTGTTTTATAGAGTAAACGACAACTTCAATACCATATTGTAGACAAACACAATACTCAATGAGACAAGCAGGTGGTAGAACCTCCAAAAGAAACCTTACACAGTGCACCTTGAACTATTCTTAAAATACAGTATTTGACATTTATGTAAAGAATAGTTTGAATAAGTGAAGTTTGTACAGTACACTCTAGATCAGTATTGTCATTTAAATAATTGGAATTTTTCCTAATGAGAAGCTTACCACTGTTCTCATCGGCGGTTCCATCCACTTGAGGGATGAACAGGTCAGCCAGCTCAGAGTTATTCCTGCCCCATTCCATTTCTTCATCTGATGCTTCTTGTGCCTCTTCAGTAGGCACACTGCAAGAACCAAAGACAGTAGCCTTCAAGGACCGGTACTGGGCTTTCAGTATACACAAATGCAAAATAGTACCTTGGATGAAGTAACAAATCAGGTGACTGACTGTCCCAGCGTTGTGACATGATAACACTAAGCTCTGCATCCTCTTTGTCTACATCTGGCTCCACCTCCTCATCATCACTGTTGCCCTGGTAACTTCTGATACCTGAAAAGGGCTTTGGTGGGGAGCATTGCTGACTCCTGCAGAAGGTGTCATTCTCCAGGCTAGTCAACAAGTTGATGATGCCATGATCCTGACTGCTGTCTGCAAAAAGCCCACATTCCAAAAGTGAAATGACAAAGCAGAATCAGATGTATTGCTTAGAAACCCAAGATTACAAAATCTATAAAATAACTGACTGGAACTGATGGATTACATAAATTATAAAATGTAGGTCTTGTGAATTGAAGTAGACTGCAATGTTTGACCAAGTATGTAAAATATGTTAGCATACATTTGTTTCCTAATATTTGGAGAACAACAATATGTATGCGTGTGTGCGTGTGTAGGTCAGGCTACCATCAGGGATTTGGTTGGAGTTTTGAGTGAGCTGGAGGAACTCCTGACTGTTTTCAAGCAGATTCAAAATGGCTTCTTCATCCACAACAGCCTCCTCTGGAAGCAAAGCACAGCCTCTGGACAAGTCTAGAGAGAAAGCGAGCAGGTAAGAGCTGAGAAGTTCATTGCTCGTTGTTCATAGTACAGCACCGTGGCATACCTGGTTGCGAGTCCAGATGTACATCCAGCACATTAGCTGGTGTACATGGAGGCAACTCAAAAGTCTCTGAATGGATGGTGAGCTCAAAGTCTTCCTGCTCTGACTCGGACTGCTGTGTTCTGTGCAGGAAACAAAAGACCACAATTTAGTACACACTCTACTATTTATGTTTGACACTCTGAAGAGGTGGTAAAAATGGCATTGGCTGTTACTTAAAAACACAATCTCTCTGGTCAAGTACTAGTCTGAGTACTGAATGCTTCTTTTCTCAAACACATTGAGAATGCACTGTACAACTGTGCTTATACACTGAACACCATGTTGTCTATACTGCCAAAAAGCTGGAGGAGAATCCTCCTTTTATTGATAGAAACACACTTACATATCAAAGTCATTCTCCTTCAAAATCTCCCTCAGTCTCTGGAGGAAACTCCTTTCACTGTCGGTCGATGGGACCAAACCACGATCTGCAATACATTCCACACAAGCCATTTTACTTCCAGTAAATTGATTATTCATTACTCATGTGCAAATCTATAATCATCATATATTGCACCATCTACATCATATAGTGCAAGTTACACTGTCACACAAGTAAAGCAAAAACAGTTGACTGCAGTTTTTGAAATGCATAGCAAAGAATACATATTTATTTGTTTTGTGGAAAAATGGTTAAAAAGGTGAAAATGCTGCTCTCTAGCCCTTCTCGCAAACACAATGGTCTTAAGTCATTAAAGTTTTCTAAAAACAAACGTTTGTAACTTTCACGTTAAGAAGATACTGAGATGCTGAACCAGATGCACACAGCATTCTTCAGCATTTCAGTGCGCTCTGGTCATGGTGGGTAAAGGGGGTGCAGGAGTGCAGGAGAGTCCAGCACGGGGACCAGGTGCATGGCTGTAACAGTGTCCCAAATGGAGAGCACTGAGGCTGGGAAAGACTCAGGCCGTCACTATAGCCTGTAAAGTCTCTTAGACAAAATAGACAACATACTCTACAAAACTCTTTTTTTTTTTAAATTACAAAATAATTCAAGAAAATATATAATTTCCAATCACAGAGGAATTAGGATTTTGCATTAGCAGAGAACACTTTATGAATGAAGCCCATTGAGAATGCATCTTAACATGTTGCAACTCTATGGAGCAAGCCAGCACGCTGCAACTGACCAACTCATTATTTCGTTATAACACAGAGATGACACATACACAGACATTTAGGAGGACCTACAAAGTTAATGTTAAAAAGCCATCAGAGGTTTAATGGAAATCTGAGTGACCTTGGGAGTGAGGAGGTTCAAGCTGTGAGGGTTGGTTCCTCTCTCTCCGCCGCTGCCGCTCATCTTCCCAGATGGACTGTAGTCCAGGGTTTCTGCCAATCTGGTCTGAACACAAACACCACAGTAACAGGTTTGGACCTTCAATATACAGATTTAGTTCAAATACCTTATTGCTAAAATAGATTTATTTTTGTGAAAATAAAGAAAAGTTTAAGACAGTTTTATTTACCCTATATTGTTAAGGTACTCTAGTCCTTAACCTGCAATAAATATACAGCGAAAACCATTGAAGAAATTAGTGCATCGGTGGATCAGGAGAGGAGAGCACAGGTGCTCTGCTGGGATGTGGCCAAAAGGTATTAAAAACAGATTAAGACTGATTTGCTAGTGTTACCAAAAGGCTGTGTGTACAGCAGTCAATTCGAGATCCAAGGCACTCTGTAGTATAAAAAATTAAAACTCTTTATTACAGCATGGACAGCCAGTGTGTTTTGACACTAACAAGTCTTCATCAAAGCAAGGATATTGCTATAAATTCAATTTAAAATGAGCTGATGATGAATTAATATTTCTAAATACTGCCTGGCGGTCCAGTTTTTTTTCCCCACTAGCTTTTTATCAGTGAAGTAAATAGACTCAACATACTTTCAATTTCAAGACGATTCAGGATGTCCACAGCCACGGCATCTACCTCCAGCTCACAGGTGCTGTGCTTCTCCAGGTCTGGCAGGACCAGGGAACTGCCAACCGCACACAGCACATATGAGCAAAAGTTGAGCAGTCACATTGTAACCTGTCCATACTCACCAAGGCAGGGATCCCTCATCCCAGCGGCCCAACATGCTCTCAGTCACTCTGGAAGTGCATGGGCTCTTCCAGGGGCTTATACTGGATCTACTGCTGTTATGGTATTCACTCTGTGACCGTGGAGCATCTGTAGAGAAGGAAGGTACAAGGCACAATGTAAAGATCAGTTTAGGCTAGCTGGAATGTTCCCAACAATTAGTGATGGTCCAATATGGAAAATTGTTTTGTTTTTTAAACCAATACCAATATCAGATATTTGAGTCACTGCTGTAGTCAGTAAGCAAAATTATCTGTTATCAATATTCAGCTTTTAAAATCCATAACAAGGCCCACAAATATATCTTAAGTTGTTAAGTAAATTTACTTAATTTCTTAATTACTTAATTCATTAACTTTCCACTTTTATCCTTTTCCATTTTTAGACATTAGAAAAATTTGGTGCACTGAGGACAAACTGAGAATGACACATAAGCACACAGTATATTTTTGGTACAAAATATCAGCAGATTTTCAAATAATAGTCTCCTCTAACAAAACTCTAAAACAGAAAGGTTCCTTATTTTTCCATCATTCAAGGAAGGAGAGACAACACATTTTGCTAAACTCAAGCACTGGTCAGTATTTAGTACCCTTAGTAGTACCTTGCACCCTGACTAGGGATGACAAGTTGAATAGCAATCGAATTACCTTTGCTGATGCGAAACTTGACAGCCCCCAGGTTAATCAAGTTCATGCCATACAAGTTGTAGTCAATGAAGAGTTGCAGCAGGTATGGAATGTGGCCCTCGTGTGGTTGATACATCTTATTCATGACGGCTCCACTCTGCAGCAGCTCACATACCCTGCAACAATACAGGCCACAATTTGTGTTGCCCTTTTGCATTTGTTTAAGCTTTCTTTTAGTTAGGAAGGGAGCTGATGCTTTAACACAGGTTTTTTTTTTCATGAAATTCCCAAAAGTTGGCAGTGCAATCATTAGTACCAGCAGACTCACCGTTTCACCATCTGAGGATTGTACAGATATATTTTCATAAAGTACTTCTCCTTGGCATGGTACCCATAGAAAGGCCTAAAAAACAAACAAGATTACTAGAAGTACCAAAAGAAGTAGCTCCTTTTGTATTATGAAAAACAATTACCATTAAACATTTCTCAAACAATGGCCATTTGTATGATTGTTTTCAGCTAAGGACTTTGAATGAATCCAACTGTACATTATTTTGAGGACAGCAGTGAAGTGAGAACGCTTTTGGACTACAAAATTCATAGCACAATTTTCTTAAAGCCAAATCAATGTTATCGCGAGTCATGTTTTTTTTGTTGTTAACTTTTATACATAAAGTATTAAAGCTATCTGCTGTTTCAGAGTTCACACTTTGCTGTGATTAATTCCACCTTTCACTCATTCAGAGCATGATAGAGGTTGAACAGCAAGAGAAACGGGCAGTGGAAAATTATTTTTACCAGAGCTGTATTTAACAAAAAAGCAGGGAATCACAGTATGGCAATTTTACCAAAATTGCATATTGTCAATGAAATCATCATACCATCCAGCCCTTGGATTAGAATGAGCAGTACAAAAAAAAGAACATACATGCCAGACACCAGCACCACTTTGAAGACATGTTGCACGCTGGAGCCAGGGTTTCCCATGGTCACATTCAGGGCTCTGTCAATGCTAAAAGCCAACTGCCGCAGGTAGCGCTCCGACTGCTGCTCAAGGCCATCGTATGGAACATAGATGTAAGGAAAGATGCCATGAAGATGGAGGCAAGTCTTCTGACCTGTGCAACACAGCAATGGCTTAATTTCATGTTATATTTCTTTTGGAATGATCCACAGTGAATGACAGAAAGCAGATAAAATCATTTTGCCATGATTCCTGTTGGATTTTAATAAAGTCCAATCTTCCAGTTGTCTCAACTCTGCAAAGAAAATCAACATACTATGGTACTTCTAGTTCACATCTGTCTGTTGTTGATCAGGTCTTTGGAAAATACAGTCACAAACTGACAAATCAATTTCTCAATTGGAAAAAATACAAATAACCAATTTAAAATGAACAAAAGATTTTAACCACTTTAAAACAAATCTATTAAGTGTCTTAAATTTAAGGGCCCATATTACACTATTTCTGATCCATGTTATAATGTTTTCTCATTACAAACATACCTGGAGTTCTTCTCTCAATCAGAAAACTGTTCCACCTTGTGACATCATGTGGTAGGGATGGAAGTACTCCACTGTGTTTTTAAAAACCTTCACTGGAATTATTTGGGTTGTAAATATGCCCAGCCCAGAAATTGTAAATCTCTACTAAACAAAAGGTAGCTATTACCGTTAAAACTAGTTTCATGGCATTACAAGGTGAAACAGAGCGTGTTGGGCTTTGGAGAAGTAGACATCCCAATAATGCAGGATTACTCAAACATGTGAATAAATCAAAACAACTCCAGGTATGTTTTGATGAGGTAACAAAATTATAAGGTGGTTTAAAGGGTCCAAGAGTCAATTTCCTTTTGAAACGCTAAAACACTGATTGTAAGACTAGTGAGAGAATGGCCTGGCCCTACACTAATCCCTAATGGATCCAGGAATCCAGGTGGAATTCCTTCTAGTGGCATTAATACTCCCCCACAGAGTAAAACCTGGGGCCCCTGAATAGCCCCCCCCCCCCCACCCCACACACACACACACACACACACACAGACACACAGAGATACACACTTATTTACTTAAAAGCACGGACCAAAATGCATGTGTTTGAGTTTAAAGGGCTTTCGTTTTTCTGTATCTTTGCCGGCGATCAGTGGGAGTTTTGTCAGCCAATTACCCATTTACAGTGAGTTAGAAATATCATCTTCATAAAGGCCCAATTTTTACAGTGGTATTTAATTGTAAGACTGGCATGTAGTTGGACAACAAGACAGATACATGCTGGCACAGCCACAGGTGGCAGTTATTAAGACTATATGTGTCTATGTGTGAAGATGAGAACAGTTTCAGGGGCCAGTGCGTTTGCTGAGCCCTGTCAGCAGCGTCGTGATGGAAGGGAGCGAAAACAAAGCACAGCTATCGAGAGGGGGGCAGCAGACCACCACCATTGCCCCACTAGCGCCAAATACCGCCTAGTGCACCGTGTCAGCGACTGAAATAGACTCCACTCCAAAACAGTATCCCTTAATGACAACATTTCATTTTTAAAAATCACGTGCGGTCACGTTTATTGCCGTGCTTGCCTCCTGTGCCATGTTCACGTGGCCCACTATAGCCACCATTTACAGACACAAACATTGCGCTGCTAACCTGCGGGGGTGGCTCCAAAGATCCGCACCACAGGCACCCTCTTCACTTCGCTCTCTCGGAATTCAGAAAAGCACACATCCAGGTTTTTCACGGGACTGGCAAGGTAATAATCCGCCGTAACAATACGGACAGCGAACATGATTCTGAATGACGTTTGTGCCTGTCCGAGAGAAACAACCCGCCGGCAGAGGTCCAGTTAAAGGATCATGAGGCGATCCAGTGCTGCTGGTTCCATCCTTCACCAGGTGCCATGGACGCGTCGGTAGTTTGGACACTAACGTGTTCCCTGCACTTCCGGTGTTCAACGATTCGGGCAAATTCCGCGTTTGGGTGGGGAGCTTGGCATGGAAATACTTCCACTTCTTCAGGAGGCACAAGCATCCATAATCCCAAACAGGTTAGCTCTCTATGCTACATGCTACATCTGCACGGAAATATAGCTGTCGAGCTGCTGGTAACAGTGGAGCTGCTTCCTCGGGTCACTTTCAGAATAAGAATCCTTATCCGGGGTCCAAGGCAAAAGAACACCCTCTACAACAGAACAAAGCTCGAAATGCAGCCAGTGACATGCCCAATTGTACATGTAACCCTGTTTTTGACGTAAATACGCACACAGCACTGCGTTTTTCCGCCCTTCCTCCGAACGCGCATTATCAGCGCCTCAGAGGCGATAAGAGTAACCACTGAGGGGTAGAAACGAGTGTTTGGGAGGGAGGCATAAAGTAGCACATAGAGAAAAAAACACGACACTTTACCCACCTTGCCTAGTATTAATGTGGTGTGGTGTATTTTTATTTATTTATTTATTTTTTACGTGATAAGCGGTGTGTGTGTGTGTGTTTGGTGGTAGTCAGAGGAGCTGATGGCGCAGATTGGCTGCCTCTGATCCTTCAGTGTACCTCAGGCAGGTGGTTACAATACCACCACAGTGTATGGGGTGAGTGAATAATAACTACAGTGTAACGCTTAGATGCAAAAACAGTAAGGGTTATGTGGCCGGACACCTCTTCCATTGAGCCACTTTAATTATTTAACTGGTATCCTTCTTTAATTTCTGCTCAAATCATGCTGTTATCCACCCTGCTTTTATTTAGACATCAGATGCCAAACCTTTAAAACAAAGTAAATTAACTTAGCCAAAATCACACAAAGCCACAATGTCATTTGTCCATTGGAAGTTTGTTAAAGTTCCTTTCAAAATAAAGATGTTCTTTGGTGCCCATTCTCTCAAAATGTGAGGCCTTCTATTTTAGTAAAATCCTTGATAATGTTCTACCCTTGCCCAGTCCTCCCCTAATACAGCTAATGCAGTTTCAAAACTGTCTTGCACAATGAGATCTCTGAATGATGAATTCTTGTAAAGTGCTGAAAAAAAGATAGCCTTTAGATGAAGGCAATTTCAATGATTAGAATGAGTGCATTCAAAGCGGGCGAACAGAGAGGGTAAGTCCAGTTCCAGGCGATGGAACAATGTATCGCTCCATCCTAAAGAGTCGCAGTAGCAGGTCTGAGCTGCCTTGAGGCCAGCGGTACAGCTTGGTGCTCTGGAGCCAACTGGGGACATGTCTCTGCAACATAGACGCACAGATATGAGTCTCAGACCTGATGATATGATAAAAAATTCTGTCCAACGTACCATGGAGGCTCCAGGGAACAGAACTGGCACTAGCCGGAAGTTCAAACAGCCTTGCTGAATAAACTCATTTTGGATCTATAACAGAGGCACAAAATTGTCCTTTACACACACCAAGAGGAAACAACTGTGTAATGAAAAATAAATAAACACCTGTGCTCCTAGACCTCTGTTTTGCACATACACGGCACATATGACACAAAACCCAAACTGCAGGTACTGCTAGTGGTCAGAGCCAGATAACAGTAAACAGTCACAGCAAATAAAATCTAATGAAAAAAATGTAACCCTGACAGACCCAGTTTTTTTCTTTGTAATCACTTATGAATTTTCCCCCTTTTTAATGACTTCACGTCATTATATATAAATTCTGAAATTCAGTAAAAACACTGTGAAAAAAGAGCACTGCTTAATGGAGGAACAGCAAACCTTTGATGGGCCATTTTAGTCCCTTTTATTATTACTATTTTAAATTTCATATTTATCAGCTGCTTATACAATAAAATGGGTGGAAAGATAATAATATAAATCTGCATATTTACAGTGCAACATTTTCAATCAGTTTCTTTGTAACTTAAAGGTTGTATGGAGGATTTTTTTTGTTTCAAATTGTCAATGATAGCATTATAGAGGTGCAGTAGCCTTGTAATTATGATGACCAAAAAAAGAGAATAAAAATTCATCAACTCTGGACGTGGTGGGGCCAGCTAAACATTTGCCAATAGATAACGACATTGCCTCGTTATCTGTTAGCTGACAGGCTGTCAATCAAACTCCCTACATTTCTAGCGTAACTGACTTGCCTGCGCGCCGCCGGTACGTGGTTTACGTACGCCTGTCACGCAGTCCACAGACGCAAGACGCACAGACGCTGTTTACTCCACCAACGCAACGGTTCTTAGCGGCTTTTTTTGACCTATATCTTCCTCGCAGTTAGCACAAAGTTTGTCGCAATGGCAGACAAGAATCCAGGAGCAGTTAGCCACAAAAGAAAGTCCGTTTTTGAGATTGCTGAAAGAAGAAGACAAGGGGAAAAGCAGCAAAGCCAAACTAAGGTGATTCTTGAAGATTCATTCCAGCGATGGCGCGACTGAAGCAGACGCAGGGTCTAAAGACTGACGCACTGATCGCGAAATTACTCCTGGACAGGTAACTTCTGCTTATTATGAAAACGTACTTTATTTCCAAGAGTTAGACAAACGTTTTTCAGGACACGAAAGCGATATCCTATGTCTGAAAACGTAATTTTCAAGGCAAAGAAAGAGTCCGCTTGCAGCTGCGTGTTGTAGCTAGTTCATTCGCACTGAATCTCCGCGCACCCTTCTCTGCACCCTTTCCTGCTCCTGTCCCCGCTGCCCGATCCGCTCTTCTCCCTGCTCCTCACTTCTCCGGGCACGGAATCTCCGCACCGCTCCCCTCTCTCCTCTCCTCTCTCCCCGCTCCGCTCTCTTCTCCCTGCTCCTCACTTCTCGTCAGCGCACGAAATGTCCGCACACCCGCTCCCCCCGCTCCTCACTTCCTCACTTTGCCTAACCAACACTGTAGTTAGTTGTTTACAAGTCATGTGCAGCGCACCGGCTGTAAACAAACCTGTTTCTGGCGTAAGGAGGAGGAGGGAGGAGGCATTTCTACGTAGGGAGCTGTAGGGGAGGGGGGGTGGTTTCACGCATGCGCAACATTTGAAAAAGGACAAACAGTCGCTGGATTTCTCGTTCCTTGGAAAATCCTCTATACAACCTTTAACAAAATAATGTCCACTTTTTTGAGTCAGGCCTTGAAGTCAGAATGTTGTTGCAGCAGTGCACAAAGCTTGCTTGGAGGAGTTATCTTAAGCACGCTCACCTGTTTGTGTATGTACTTCGTATGCAGACAGTGCTCATCAGGCCCGAGCCCCTCCACGTCCTCCTTATACTGAGGGCTGATGACCACGATGATCAACATGGATTTCTGTGCAATCACATTGTTAGTATTTGTTGTTGTTATTTGTTATGTCTGGTTGGGAAATAGCATGTTGGTGAACATATAAATGCTCTAGTCTAAACATGCCAGATTGTAAGCATAGGCTAATTTCTATTCGTTTTCCCACATTCACCTCTCAAACACACTTCCATTCCAGTGTCCTTCAACACTGGAAGCAAGTAGGTGTAGTGTCTTGCCCAAGGATACGTCAACACTAATCCATGCAATACATATGCAGCAGCGGAGGAACACACAGGCCTATGCTTCTGCATCCTGGACCCAGAACTAACCCGACCCGACAACACAATTGGGAAATCTGGGCCTGGGACAAAAATCTAGTGAGACCACATCATGTCAGCCAGTCCACAGTTGATATAATATACAGTAGTTACCAGATGTTTAACAAGTCTTCACTAGGTCATGTATGAGTTTTACTGAACTGTTATTTTTTTCTTTGGTGGCTTTTGTCTTTTATTCCAACAAAACACCTATGTATACTCTAAACCTACACCAGATCATCACTACACCTACATCATTCAGGAAGCGATCCATCCATTTGGTTGTGTCCATGCTCCTGATTGGGCTGTCAAAGATGTCGATCTGAGGAACGGACACAGAATAGTTGTTAGTGCTTAGTGTGTAAGCTAGTTCAGTTTAGGAGTCTTCCCACAGGGTATGCTACTGACCGCTGGCTGGAATCCATTGGCAAGGAGGAACTTGGTGAAAGGAATCATGTCTTTGGCTGTGTCAACAGAGTATGTGATGAAAACAGTCTCTGGAAGAAATGGAAGTGGTTTCAGTCTGGACCAAAGTCTGGCTCATTGTAATGTGAAAGTAATAGCTAGGATGAAGAAAGGGGAGTGTGAAGACGGGATGAGAGGCAGGGTCTGTGATGGGAGTGTGAGATTAATGGTTGGAAATTACTGCACTCATCAGGGAGGCTGATAGTTTTCCTGATCTGTCCAGGATCCACAGGAAGAGAGCACGGATCGCAGCAGACCTCCCTCATGACCCCATCGGTGACCCGATGACCCGGTGACAACTCTAACAGCCGCTCATGGTGCGCTCTGTTCTGTGGGACCTGGCTGAGAGACACCATCAGTGTTTTTATAGTGTATGAAATATGGGCTTCACCAGGTAATATAGAAAATCATCATGTTCAATAATATATCTAAATCATAAATCATGTATGTTTGTAAATTAAAAAAAAACAACTTTTCATAACTAAATTATTTATTTAAATTCTAAGTGTTTATGTCTGTTCAATCTAAATGATTCAAAATACAAATACTAAAGAATTTTTTTTTTTTTTTTAAATTAGGCTTTCATTACATGTTTTATTAATTGTGTTATAATAGTATTAGTGACAACAATAAAATATTAAAGCATAATTATAGCAACACTAAATTTAAATACATAAGAGTTACTTGGCTAGCCAGAACCACACACTTTGACAAAAAAATGACAAAAAACTACAGGAACACACATAACATAATGCAGTACTCAGGGAGTTTGCGTCATTTTACTTTTAAGTGATAATTCTGGAAAAGGATGCTTTTTTGACTTGGTTTGCTACACAGATGATGAAGACCTCACTTACTAGGCTACATTTAGACAAGAAAGAGTTTCATTCAGTCTGACATTTCACTTGAAAGTCCAATATCCTAAGCATTTTGAATATAGTGCAAATTAAACAATATTAAAAACACACCCGACAGGAGCATGCTGGGGGACTTGTGCAGCGTGGGCTGGAAAATGACAAGGATACTGCATACCACCTGAACACAGGAACACATACAGCTGAAAAATAATAACTCAGATTTATCACCAGCCACTTATACAATAAAGTGGGTGGCATGTTAAATAAATATAAAACTGGGCATATTTACAAACTGAGTACTTACTGCCTGAGAGGTTATGCTCATGTTTCATATTGTAAATAAATCTGTATTAAATAATAGCAGATCTTTAATAGTATATTATTTCATAATCACCATCAAGCTGTCTGTCCATTCCTTGGGCCCACAGCAGTGGTGGCTGACCCGAAGCAAACAATGTTTTGTCAGTGGGACTTACCAGGGGCAGGAGCACCAGGAGCACGTTGGTCCAGGAACAGCTCAGACCTCAGGGGGCTGGGGGCTTCTAAGCGTTGTTCCTCTAGAGAAGGCTGCAGGGGCCAGGGTTCATATAGCTGTTCTGTCCTGGAGGGGAGTCTGGGGACTGCAGAGGCCAAACCTCTGAGGGGCTCTTGTGGGTGCATCTCACTCATGTCCTGGTTCTCATCAGTCTCTACTGGGATACTAAAGCTGGGCTGCAACTCACCTTCAGAGCGCCTCATTGTACCAGTGGCAGCAGCTCCCAACATGCTGTGCAAGACAAATTATAATTCCTTCAACAATTTCCTCATCCAGAAACACTGTGGTCTTATTGAGATGTACATCCCATCATAAGTAAATGATAGTAGCCTAAATTATTCTGTTATAATGTTAGTATGAAACTATTATAGCATAGTATACTATAATAGTAATTTTAATTATTATTTAAAATTCGGTCTTGGGGGAATTGACTTGTCATGCTTATGATTAGGCCATATTACAGAACTGATCTTAAGGCAAAGGTAAATTTACAAATATTTTTCTCAAAATGCTAAATAAAGAGATAGCCAGTGTTATTTTAAAGTCCTAAGACCCCTGCTTTTAACAGACACTCATAGGCCTACTCCTGAAAATAACACACTGGCGTTTTCCTATGAGCACTAACCAAGCCTACAGTAGTCAAGTGCGCAGAGTAGACAAAAGCGGAGAAAGTGAAAGTGCAGGTAGGTGGAAGAGAAAACAGTTCTAAAACAAATAACATTATTTGTCTGACCCCAGAAACTTAACTTGAACATTCACTTGCGTGTAGAAGTGACAGTAGTTCCTCTTTTATTTGAAAGAGTCTTACCTTTGGATCTTTCGGCGTCAGTGGGACCCAGCCCAAACCTGTTCTGTGTCAAACAGGAAATGTCCCGTCCCAAGTCCCACAGGCGCACAGCCCACGCGTCGATTTATGCAAATAAACCTCCTCTAAAAGTGTTACTGATTACAATGAATCGTTTTATTTCACTTCGCAAGCATTTACATTTTTAGAGAGAATTTTTTTTTAAATTAAAGAAACCGATTAAGTCAGTAAGTTAATTTTCAATTTCACAGAAAATCATTGCAATTCTACTTAATACCACTTGGAGGTAGTAGAGTAGTAGAAAAGAAACCCATAAAAACTGATTTAGGCAGTATTTATCATAAACTTGTCTATATACAATCTATGGTATTTATAAGTATCTGTGGATTCTTCGGATTTGATGCATTCTGGTTAGGGACGTTGTAGTTGTATTTAAAGGTACAGTATGTAACTTTCTGGAGGCTGGAGGTGACATCTTACCTGCGTAATTCCATGGAAAGTTCATTACTCTAAAAGAAAAATAAATAAAGGCTTACATAGCCTGTTTTTTGTTTGTTTTGTTTTGTTGTTTTTTCCAAGCTTTTTTCCAAGTACCATAACAAGCAGTGAATTTACATTTAGCCTACTTGTTTTATTGCTGAAACATGGCTGAGATACATTTTTTAACGCTACATGTACTGGAGTTTTTTGATGAGCAAGAAAAGAGTGGGGGGAGATAGGTATAAAGAGGCAAATGTCTGAGCCTTGAGTACAAGACAATACAGGATTAATCAAACATGTATGGATAAATCATAATACAGTTGATGAAACACCATTATAACATGGTAAAACGCCCAAGTCAATCTAAATGAATTTTTACGTTGCCTAATATGTTCCCTTTAATGGCGCATTTCGATCACATTACTGAGTGAAATACAGCTTTACAGTATTAAATATAGATGAGGTCAGTCCGTGAGTTTTATATTAGTCAACACAACAGTGGCAGGACTGTCACTAGGAGGTGCTCTGCGCTCCGCCACGGAGAACACTTTCATCGTGCTGTAGGTGAGCGCAGAAACGTGCTGTCGAGCCTTGACTGAGCAGGTTAGTGCGCTCACTATTTCCCTGCGAAATCTCCGGCTGACCATGCAATACAGCAAAAAATTGGTGGTGGAGTTCAAGTTCTGGAGCATGTTGGCCACGTCCCCGGCCACGTTGATGGGGATCCTGTAGTCGTTGCGGTCAAAGTCTTCTTTATTGTACTTAGTTCTGAGGATGCAGTATGTGACAAAGCGAGGCAGGCTGAGTACCACAAAGGCCACAGATACGGTGCCCAGCAGCAGCAGTGTCCTCCGGAGAACACCCCGGCTGCGGCTATGCATCACCCGCCGCTCTTCTTTGGTGAAGAGGTTACTTGCCCGGGACAGGTGGTACCCAATCAGGTAGTTAAAAATAATGACCAGCACAATGGGCACACCCCCAGACAGAAAAGTAGTTATCCACACAATAACAGTGCTATAGGTGGCATCCCGGTAGTGGCACCTGGGCAATGACACGTTCAGTCCATTTGTTGTGATGTCTACTGTGGACACAAAATTGATCCATCCCAAAGGTACAGAGACAAGATGAGATGTTAGCACAATCCCCACGCACATTAGCTTGGTAAGGCCAGCTTTAGAGAAGTGCTGCTTAGCTCGGGTGCTGCGCAGGACCAGGTAGCGCTCAATGGTGAACACCACCACGATCCACGACGAGCTGTAGAGGGACCCATACTGCAGAAAGCCCAAGATACCACACCAGGGATGGGAGTGCCAGAAGGGCTGCAACACCCAGAAAGTAAGAGTCAGGTCAATAAGGATGACCCAGACCAGGTAGAAGATGTCCACAATGGCCAAGCAACTCAGGTACACCATGGCAGTTTCAGACATGCCGCACTTACGGAAGCAGATCATGTAGAACGTGAAGAGATTGGCTACAAATAAAAAGACAAAAACAAACATGAAAATTCAGATGCAGTAAGTAGCATTCAGTGCAAGTACAACTTGGAAATCTCAACCTTACGAAAATATTCCAACAATAGGTACCAAAACTGGGATTATTTATATGTGTTCTATTAAGGAAGCCCAAATGAGAATTACTGCTTCAGACCCCCACCACTTGCTAAGATGCCAGTGCAGGCTGCAGATGTTTTGTCCTCATGCGTGGCCTATATTAATCTGTGGTTTATTGAAAATCTGCTGGTTCTAACTGTGACAAAGACAGACTAGGCTGATGTGTTAAAAATTTACAAAATTATAAAATGCAATGTTATCAAAGAACTACCTTAAGCCATTCACACTTCACTGTGTCATATTATAATAATTCAATTGCTTTTTTTAATGCAGCTCTAAAATCAATATCACAAAATTAGCATATTAACATTAATTTGATTTTTATCATCATATTGTCCAGCCACAATTGGCAAAATAGATCATTTTAATGACATACTGTGGAATAATCCAGGCAAAGCAATAACATCTCCATGGAGACGGGCAGATGACGTACCCTTCACTAGAAGAGTTACATAATGCACCATTGAATAATAACCTAAATAAATAAATAACTGTAGTAGCAAGTAGAAAGCTCACTGTGTAGGAGTAGACTGACCTGGGATTCCCACAGAGCAGAGCAGGGGGTAGTAGATCTTCTGCACCGTTACAAACACAGATACACCAGAGCCACTCATCTTTACTCAGCCCCACAGAGCACTCAGCATCAGGGCATTTCAAACAACCTACAGATGAATCAGACAAGCAGACAAAGATTCTTTACTTTTTAGTAGGCATCTACAAAATAATAATTTGCTCAACCACAAATGGCAATGTAATTACGTAATTTCAAACAATTTGGTAAATGATTCCATCCAGGGAATATACACAGAAATAAGTAATTAGTGATGTATTGTATATTTCTTTCCCATTTTGCTGCTGCTAAATGAAAAGAGGTCCTACCTGCTCCTGAAGATGGAGACTGTATCTTCACTTCACTTAGTTCAGTGATAAGGACCAGGTCACATGATCACCATCTGCCTGGGAATAGAGTTATCACTTCACCAGCTTTAAGAACTCTTTAAAAACTCTTTAAAATTGCAGTGCTGTCAAAAGTCCTTGAACTCTAGTCATACGCATATATTCAACATATTGGTAACATCTCTTTATAATGAGGATAAATACAAATGCATCCTTCCAACTCACGTTTCATGGCTGGTTTAAATCTGTTTGTATGTTTGCTGCCTATCGATTTGTCCGAAGGATGGCGACTTTCCATGCTGAACTACACTGATAAGGGCATCGGCTGTTTGCATGAGGCAATAAAAGAAAAGATAAGATGGGCAGGAGTGCGCAAGACCAAGACCCATCAGGACTCATAAAAAAGGTCAATACAGTCCCACAGTGAAAATGCAGGCAGGCATTATAGTAGTTAGAAGCATCATCAGGTACAGAATACAATTGTATATCTGTACAGTTGCCCACAGACAAACCAAAGGAGTGAGTAGGAAAAAAGTAGCACTTTTATAGAATACATTCATTAAAATTTGTTGAGTTTTGATCTAGATCTAGAGACCCCCCCACACACATACACACACACGCACACACACGCACGCACGCACGCACACACACACGCACACGCACACACACACACATACATATATATACATATATGTACATATATATATATATACACATATATGTACATATATATACATATATATATATACACATATATGATCTAGATCAAAACTCAACTATGAGACCAGCTGTTTTAAAAGCATTCTGGTTAGGCGTAAATGCCTGTAACTGGTTGGCTCTGATGAGGTCTTTGGAGGCTGATGTAGAAGGCTTTCTTTGACACAGAGTCCAGCTGACTGCTTCTCATATGGTGCTTCTATAAAGGAGGTCAGTGCAGTGCTCCAAACCTTCAGAACCATCAGAAAGAAAGTTGAAGTTTGGCATTCATTCACCCTGTTTAGATCCAGAAAGAACAGGTGTTTGTCATAGTCCAAAGTTCCTACTCCACTCTGCACAACAGTCACCATCTTTGTTCACAACTGGCCATAGGTGCTGCACAGTATGTAAATACACTGCCTCTATGTGAGTGGTGAAGTATTTTAGCCCCTGTCCTGTTTCATCCACAGGCAGATAGAGTAGACTTCTACCAGTGGAAACCCCCCCAGAAGAGCTTCACTTCCCTATTCCGGTTTTAGTTTTAGGGTCTCTAAGTAAGTTGGATGAAGACAGTGAAACAGAGTGGGTCACTGAGGCAGGAGTAGGTCACAGAGGGGAGGAATGGGTCATAGAAGGAGGAGGACTGAGCCACTGAAGGAGGGGGGGGTGGTAGAGTGGGCTATGTACGTCTCTACACAAATATTTCCCTTCTGCATGAGGGTGTTTGTGGAGGACACAGAGTGTGCTTTGTGCCCTTAGCACTCTGTCCTGACCCCGCCCCTGGCCCCTCGTTCTGAGACCCTCTCCTGAAACTCAGCAGACCACCTCACATCAGAGATGCTGCTGCATTTCTCTGCGTTGCTCCTCATCCTCACACAACAGGTAAGAAAATTTTATTCAATTGCTAGGATTGTACTTGGATAAATAAGGCAATTGAGAATCATGCGGTATGTTCTGGTAATACTACATCTGTTTGGTCTGTTTAGATGAATGAGGTTAATGTGAGACCTTAATCATTTGTGAATGGCCCCGCTGTTTTCACACCATCCCAATAGCTCACTACATAAAGCTGGCACACAGGCTTCAGATTTTTGGCATAGCCTCACTGGCCTCTACAACTGCAGAGCACTAGTGGATCGATCTATGATTTGGGTCTTTTAAGCGGTCAGAATAGGGTTGTTAAAACAATCTGTTCAAACTAAGGCCAAATTATAGTTCCAGAGGCACTGGGAGGTCTCAAACCAGAAAATGCTTCTCATAAGCCAATACGTTTTATCATTCAGTAAATGTAATAGTAAAACATTTGCTCTATTATGTGCAGTTATCACTACCTTCACCTTGACTGGAAGCAGCTTCAGGTGGCTAGCCCTGTTTAAACTATTGTTAAATGCAGCTTGATATAGAATCTGACCCATAAACACTCACACTTCATGTTGTACTGAGCACAGAGCACCTTCTGCCTCTTCTCTGAAACACACAAGGTTCACAATTTATTCTCTATAAAAAAAGTTTTATTAAAGTCACATATGTAATATGTTATACAAATATATGCTGTCTTAAAGCAGAGAATCAAAGACATTTCTGATACCATGGATAATGCATGCCATGTATCACTCACAGTGTTATACCATGGGTTCCCCAGGGTTTGGGCAGAACCACCAACAATGGGCCATATGTGTCTGGTCGGGTGGAGCGGCGGCAGTTCTGCCAGTGGCCCTGTAAATGTGGCTCGCGTGCACAGTGTGCCCCTGGGGTCAGCTCTGTGCTGGATGGATGTGGCTGCTGTAAGAGTTGTGCTCGTCAGATCGGAGATAGCTGTAACGAGAGGGACGTGTGTGACCCCCACAAGGGCATGTACTGTGACTTCTCCCGGGACCAGCCCAAATACGAAGTTGGTGTGTGTGCTTGTAAGTATTGCAGAGGTTGCAGGTATAGCTGAACCAAACACACTCACGCAAGAAAAATTGCTTTTCTTCAGTTTACAGATTTGTGGTCCCTCCGTTTTTATCATCATGTAGCTTTTAATATATACTGTGGCCAAACCTTTATAATGAAAGAAATTATTACAATTTTTGTGAGCTGATCAACATTAAAGCTGCATCACCAGATTAAAAAAAAAAAAATTAAGGAGGAAGTAGGAACTTTAATCTATCTCACCTGGCTCTCACAAACCCATGGCACATCACTAGCATGAATTTAAGGGGCGCATAAGAGGGAAGTGAAGCAGCACCAATACACACCAGCCCTCACCTTAAAGCCTCATAGATAAGCACATAGAGCTTTCCTGCAAGTTTACAATCAATAAAGGGTCTATACTTTTAGTGGTTCATAGTTGAAAAAGATTGAACTCTTCATATTAGAACTTCAAAGAAATATTGAGTTTTGAAAAAACTGAAAGAAAAAAAAAGTCCACAGGAAGAACTACAAATGAGACCAAAATTGAGTCAACAAAGGAGCTAAGGAATCACTCCCAGTAAACATTAAAACAATGTGCTGCATGTGTCGATTATGTGATGAAAGTCTCAAAATGAGAAATACAATTAGGGGTCAGACATTTAAGGTACCTCACTGCATACAAATACGTGGTCCCTCAGATCTGATGGCTGTGGGCTGTGACCTGAATGGACTTCACTATGAAAATGGAGAGGCCTTCCAGCCGAGCCCACTCTACAAGTGCACCTGCATTGGAGGAGCCATCGGCTGCACGCCCGCCTTCATCCAGAAGCCTGCTGTTTTAGGCCCTGCTTCTTTGATGGCTAGTGTCCCAGCAGGCCTTCGGAGTCCCCACAGTTCTAAAAAGCACCAACAGGACACTACCTACATGTCAGGTGAGTGAGTATTATGCCTAGATAATATTAATACTCAATAATTATTATATTAATGTAGTATAATATGCTGCCAAATGTGGCCTTTAGAACGTATGCACCCTCTGATATAGCCCATTTCCAAAATAAATAAATAACTAAATAAAATTTGACATTTATAATTTAACTACAGCAGTTTATTATTTTTAATTGATTTTCCAAGTCTGAACTTTCCACAACTCCATAAATGGGCTGGAGGATTATGCTCTAACCTTGTAGCCATGCCAGCTCAATTTAGCCCTTGTCAAATCCATACCATTTTAATTTTTTTTTCTGCTTTTTGACAGATAAAATTTGCAAGTCATGCAGGCATATCTGAAAAAGAATATTACAGATGTAAATATCAGCATGTGGAACATGTGATGTATATGGGTTCATGGAGAAAGAGTAGATTTGGATTTGTAAGTTCAGTTTGGGTGTTAGGGTAATGACACTTGCCTTTAACTGTAACACTGAAAGCTTACAGGGATCCTCCTTTAGTCTGGAAGAAGAACTGCCTGATCCAGAGCACACCCTGGAGCCCATGCTCCAAGAGCTGTGGTTTGGGCATCTCTGTGAGGATAAACAACAACAACAGCAAGTGTGAGATGAGGAAGGAGCGACGTTTGTGCCTGCTGCGGCCCTGTGACAAGACCCTCCTCAAAAGTATCAAGGTAAGTTTACAAAAGGGTCCTCACTACCAGCTGTAAAGTACTGGATCATGTTTATAAGTAAAAAGGCTTTGTGTTCAGCCAAGATCTAGATTTATTTTAATGTTATCAACCTTATACATGCATTATATAAGTTCACATGAAAGGAATAATGGGAATTATGCTTAATATATTTATTTAATCATATAAACAATTTTAATTGTGTGGAAAACCTGAACTGGGTAACTATACTGGATAATATTTTTGTGGTAATATTGTCTTGGATAGATGCCAAAAGGAAAGACATGTCGGCCCAAATTCCAGGCAAAAAAGGCGGAGAAGCTGACACTGTCGGGTTGCACAAGCACCAGGAAGTTAAGGCCCATGTACTGCGGCATGTGCACAGACAAGCGCTGCTGTGTCCCCAACAAGTCACGCATGATTCCAGTCAGTTTTTTGTGCAAGGACGGCTCCAGCACACGGTGGAAGATGCAGTGGATCACGTCCTGCGTGTGCCAGAAGAAGTGCAGTGATCCAGGGGACATGTTCTCAGAGCTACGCTTGCTCTGATCACTCAATATGATAAGCATCACTTTGCCATTGCAGCTTTAATTGAAGCTTAACATGATGAAATCATGTCCGAAACTCTTCACCCATTGAGCTGCAAACCCTGAAAAACATTTCACATCTAGAGGATAATAAAGTTTTGTGTTGGGATGTATATTGACTGTATATACACCACTTGTATAAAGATAGACCCATACATTATTGACAAACCTCAAAATATTATTAATGTATCCATTCACCCTTTTTTAATAACTATATGAATGAAGTATCCCTTCATGAAAAAATAATGTGCCTGAAAATTACAGTGAGGCTCATTTTCACAGTATTTATTAAAAATGATTTCAACATTTTAATGAATGTGTTCTGTTGTTTTTACTCAGTCCAAACAGATGGGAAGGTTAAAGGATGTAATACAAATTTGAGCTGCCAACCCGGAGGGCCATATTATAAACAAAAAGATTTGTGTAGGGAAAAAGAAAAGTTAAATTAGTGTAGCGTGTAGGACGAACAAAAATAGTAATATACAGCAGAACAGGGCTCATGTGGCAATACCAAGCCGAGGAGCGTTTGGTACTATTCTGTCTTTGGTTATGTCCAGCTGTTGATATTCTGCGATGAGTGAGCTCAGAGAGGACACAGCTTCTGAAAAGGCACTCTGCTCAAGCCCCTCTACATGCAAGTAATGATGAAGGTGAGCCTTCGAAACAGAGGAAACTTTACATTAGGATATTTGGCAACAATATAAGGCAACAACAGTAGTACTATAAAGTAGTGTGCAATAATGGTTTGCAGTAAGAGAGCCCTGCTGGCCATACCTTCTTCCTGTAGAGCTTCATGAAGCGCTCATGGAGTCGGCTAAAGGTGGCTTTGAGGCATGTGTTGTTGGCCAGAGCCAGCAGGGAGTGGCTGTGTCCAACTGGTGGTACAGAACATAGACTCGCCTTCCAGCCCTCCCGGTTCCACCAGATGAAAGGCAAAGTGGGCCTCAGTCTGCCAGATGGACAGAAAACAGGTATTGAAGACAGATGAGACATGCACTATATTAATTTTTTTAATAGATAGACTCAATATTAGAAGTATTTTTGCTTGTTTTTTTAATTAATAATGCACATTTTAGCAGCAGGCAGACTTCAGTCTTATGTGATTGTGAGTGTATTGGTGACCGCTCAGACCTCTGGATGTTCCTCTGCAAATCCGACACTCCCACGTTTCCCCGCAGCAGGAGGGCACAGGCCAGGTACAGACTGTGCCTCGGCTCAGCTTCAATCAGCTGCTGCTCCTTACTGAAGGCATCACTGAACATCTGGTCAAGTCTAGGACACAAAGTATGGTTCTAGCAACAACGTTTTTAAAAAGAAATGGTAAGGGTGAAAAAGCAAAACGATCCTCTGTTTGGTCACAATTATTTGTTTACATTTTATTTTATACCACCAATACTGTAGAAGACAGTGTTTGGTCAGATATGCTAAAATTATACAGTGCTCTACTGAATCTAAGATGAACAAGCAGAGACAGACTGGGACCACAGGTGAATGTGAGCTTTGTGCGACAGGGCGGCACTGGCAGAGTAAACACTGCACAGTGTTAGCCTTTCAGAAGCCAAGAGGCCAAAAGTCAGGCAGCATTACACATGATCAAGACTTAATAGTTTATATTTTTTATAATATATAATTTGCATAATTATATTTGGAAAAATATGTAATAAGAGAGGGAAAAGATCCCAGAATAAATCTCAGCAAGTGCTGCTTTGCTGTAGTCCACAATGTGTCCAGAATGGCATAAATAAATATTGTTTTCTCAGTAATTAAGAATATTGAGAAATACTTACTAGCACTTTTTTAATTTGGAAAAACAAAATATCATATACATGTATTGGACAAAAAAAATAGATTTATAGATTAATAGGATCCAAAAAAGAATGCACGCATCTGAGCCATGCATTGACAACAGAATTTAATCAAGCCAGTGTCACAGTTCTGCCTTTTGTTTACTTTTTTTCCCCAGTCCAGTTCCATTTCTCAGTCTGTTCCGGTCCTCCTTTTGCCACCTCCCTCCTTTCCCTACAGCTGCTCCTCATTCAGTAATCAGCCCAGGCTCAGTCTATATATACTCCCTCTGCTCCCTCAGTCTTTGCCAGATTGTCAACCTGTAATGACACACACTCAAGCTCCAGAAAACCCTGACTCTGATCTGTTTGCTACTTCTGCAATTCTGTGTTTCCCTGTTGTCCCTGTTCCTGAGTTCACTCCCAGTCATTTCTTACTTGTGTACTTCCCAGTCTTGGAGGATATTTCTGTTCTCATTTTACATCATATATTCCTCTGTTTTATTTTCAGTCTGAGTTACCATTAAACATTATCTGTTAGAGGACACTTTCTGTTTTTACCTAAGACTTTGTTTGCCTGTATACTTGTGTTGCATTTGAGTCCAAATTACCTGCGTGATAGCCAGGCTCTATTGTAGTGACCTTTGAACTGCAAGTGTACAGAGTTATGTTGTGCTTACCTCCTGGGGGGCATGCTAACATCTGCCAAGGTGTAAAGTGGAGTTAGACTGGGGACCAGGTAATGTAGCCGTGGAAAGGGCACCAGGTTCATTGGAATCTCGTTCAGATCCATGTTGAGAGAGCCCTGGAATCGTGCTGAGCTGAAAATCACAGAGAGAGAGAGTCTGTGTCTGGCATGTTCTTCTGTGACACCTTTGTTTCCCTCGTGACTCTATACAACCTTTACACTATACTAACTCTATGCACACGTTGCAAATGGACAAACATTTTTATTATAACACTGTCATGTAACCAAAGAGATCTACTAGTATATTGTGACGCTACTAATACCGACCTGGTCATATGCAACAGGAGGTTGGCCACAATGTTGTTCATGGTGTCAAAGGGCTTCTTACCAGCTGACAGCCCCCCATGGCCTGAAATAACGGCACTGTCCATTCTCATTGTTGAGCCTGCTTTTCCACTGTAGCGACTGATTCTGTTCACTATGTTCACCAGAGACTTGCAATAGAAAGAAGAACAGAAAAAGAGGGGCCAAATGCAGTGGTGGCTTAATTTTAAAGAAGCCATTTTTTAAATATTTAATTAAAAAAAATTATATTATATATATCCTGCCTTATTAATAGCTGTGCAATATTTTTGATACCACAAAACATAAGTACATAACAAATGTATAGACAATAAAACTTTGGAAAACTTTTTAAGCAATTCATTATGCCACAGAATGATGATAACCTTGGATATTAAAAGAAGAAAATGAATGAAAAAGTAGTAAACTTCGTAAACTGCATTTTTAAACAAAATTTGCTATTTATTATGTTATTATATATTTAACCTATTTTAAACCATATTTTTGTAGTTTGGTTTAATTTAAACAGAGTTCTTCAAGATGGAGTGAAAATATATAAAAGCCTGCAAAGACGTGTAGTGACAACATTGTGGTGGGAAAGCCTACTTGGTTCTCCACAGGTAGGACACAGTCAGCATGCTCGCTCAGCTCCCTCATGGCCAGGACACTGTTGTAAGGAGAGGTGACCACATCGTCCTCCTCTGATGGATAAACAGATGTCACTATTCGGCACACTTCAGGAAACTCATCCTCAAGAAGGCGCAAGACTCTGGTGCCAAGGCCCGAGCCTGTTCCTAAAAACAAACACTTACGCTTAAATAATTACTAAAAAGAGTAGGAATGTCAGGATAAACAGTTAGGTGTTTTTTGTCATGGTAATTGTAAGAAGATAGCATTTCTGTGAGTCATGCAGTTGAACTTGGAACATTGGTCTTACCTCCTCCCATTGAGTGGATGAGGAAAAAGCACTGCAGACAGTCGCAGTGCTCAGCCGTCTTTCTGAGCTTTTCTACAATCTGCTCTCTGTATGCAGAGCCATACGTCATGTAGCCCACTGCCCTGCACAGACAACACATTTAGAGTTATAATAGAAATAGAATGTGAATGAGACTTGAATGGCTCAAACAACAGAAGGATTAGAATGCTCCCTGTCCCGTCACATCCTCACCAGTTGTTACCAGAGCCAGACACATCAGTGAGGAGCTGTGTGCTGTCGAACACATCCCTGAGTGGCCCCTGCAGGATCTGATTGACCACACCCTCCTCCATATCCACCAGCACAGCCTGGAAAGAGCCCCCCCAGCCAACTTTGTACTTGTTTCATTCACTTTATTATAAAGCCCTTTAAACTCAGTTAAACTGAATTTGATTGGACCTAGAAATTATTCTTGGGGACTTACCCTAGCTTTCAGCTGATGGATTTTCTCACCAACACGGACACCACAGTTCTGCCTGAAAACATGTCATGACAAAAAAAGTGTAAACATCCACTAGAATGGTAATTAGAATTAGAACTACAAACCCACCAGATTGGTCATTTACCTAGAATCCACATTTCGGAAAAAACTTCCTATAGCTTCATCATAACGTCCTTTCTGCACAAACGCATAACTGAGGTTAGTATCTGACTAAATATATTAACTTCAAACGAAATGTGCTGTCTATTGCCACAGGACCATTCATTTATGAAGGTTACAAATATATGATTCTAAGCTTGTGTTTGGTATTAACTGTAATGTAGCCTATCTATACTGTAATATACGCATTAGAATTGTATATTGTAGCAAAACAATTACAAATGTTACGTAATATCTTAAAACTAACCACGGCATAACAATATTTCAATAACAATACTTACTTTGTTAACGTAGGCGTGCTCTCTCAGTGCCAGATCCCAGAATCTACAGCCGATTTGGTTTCCACATTGCCCCACTACAACAACACATGTGATCAGTTCAATAGTCTACAAAGTTTGGAATGCCTGCTGTCTGCTTTTTAACCTGTTTACTGAAAGCACAGCAGTACAGATACCCAGTCAGATTAGTGTTGTGGATAATCATAACCACAACAAACAACGCTAGCTGAACCATTAGATATCAGTCTTGGAGGATGCAATCAAAACGAAAAAGTATTGCTACAGTTGTCATTGCACTCACCCTGGACAACGACTGACTGCGTCATGTTAGCCCCATACTACTGAAATCCTGGCAGAAAAGCTACTCTCACATTTTGTTACTCATTTCATTAACTTTAATTTTGGATTTGCAAACTTTTGCCCGCCTACTGCTTCTGCGTCCTCGGTCGAGTTGTGATGACGTTTTACCATGGAAACGCGTGCAATGCTGTGTTCAAAACAGATAGGAAATCTGAGCACAACATGAAAAATATATTTATTTTTTTCATCTTACAGAAGAGTTAGAGGGTACCAGTGCTTTTTTCTGTAGTCCACAATTCCTTGTTTTGAGTCATGGATCGCAGGGCACCTGTAGAACATCTCTATGCAACAATTTTGGTTTGATTTTCAGTCTTGGCTTCAATCCAGGGGACTTCAGTTTGCCCCTCTAACCATAAAAAAAAAAAAAGAAACAAACAAAGAAAGAAATGTGTACTAATAGATGATAAAAGAATGGAATTTGATATCAACAATTTATTGATTTTAGGTAAAAAATTTATTCACAAATGTCGTTTCTTTAATATTAAACCAAACATGAAAAAACTTAACTTAACTTATTAAACCAAACTTGAAAAATTAGCTGAAATCTAGCTCATTGGGTCTAATTGAGAGAAAAGAGGCTGGTTTTCTTATGTCCTTTTTAAACTTTTTGTATGTATTCCTTTAAATTAGAGCTTTGAAATCGCCCCTTTTATATATGAATGTTATATTATTCATTGAAATTCTGAAATAAAAAAAGACTGTATATGAGAAAGTAGATTAATATTTCTTTGTAAATTTATAAGACGGAATTAGATGGAACAACAGAGTGTCATGTTAGTAAGAGAAAAAAGAATGTGACTTTTAATGAATTAAGATGTGAATACTGTTAATGCTATATGTGCAGTAGTTGGTGTGCAGTTGACATGTGTAGTTTGGTTGAAGTCGTAGGTTTATTTATTATTAGATCTTGTGTGCAACATGTGCAACGCATAGAAAATAGGCTATGCTTTATTTTTAAAGGAGCTGTGTGTAGGTCATGTTTATAGAATTGAAATCTTACATAGGCCTATAATTCCTTTAAGTTCATAGGTTTTTCAAAGCATCAATTTCAATAGGCTATTATGGATATAGGCCTATATCTAGCTGAAATCTCCTCATTCACCTCTGGCTCACAAACATTAAATTGGAAGACATACAAGGAAGCTGGTGATCAAAGAGTGTATTTTTATTGGCTATGTTTTACCTGAAATACACATGTTAAAGGGGCTCTGTGTAACTCGACTTTAACTATCACCTAACTAGGGCTTCTGGAAGTGACTCCATCTAGTGGTTCTTTTTTATTTTTTCAATTTGACATAAAAGTCATCTTGGTAGCTCACCAAGATTAAGGGGAGATTGATTACATATCGTGAAATTTAAAAGCTTTTCTAACATAAAGATGTGAATCACCTAGGAAGAACAAAAACGAGGTTTCTTGCAGATGAAGGACTTTTTCATGGTCAAAATGTTACACACAGTCTCTTTAAATTTGGTCAGTGCTATATAAGAGGAGTGCAGTTGTGCATGGGGTTACTCCGTTGGACACCCCTTGGCGCTCACTGCGCCATGGACCAAAGCCGCTTTACTAAAGCTCACAGCTCGTCCATCAATGTTCAGGCCCCTCATGCAGCCAACATAAGGCTTGACAGGACCCACGCTGTCAGGCAGGAGCAGCTCTGACTCTGCAGGAGAGGAAAGGAGTATGTTAGAGCGCAGTAGGTCGCTGAGGGGTGTGTGGATGTGTGTAGTCTTACTTGGTGCCCCGCCGATCCACACAGGCCCACTGTAGCCAACACTGGGACCTTGGGGTCCCACCACATGGTTTACCTCCAAGTCCACGGCTAACTGGACTACATTAGCCTTCCGAATCACTGTCAGGTAAGACCAGATTCACATTTGAACTGCGTGATATCTGTGCATTTCTTATTGAGCTTACAAAAGTAGGCTAATTGCAGCTTATGACCTGATGTATAAAACTATTTTTTACAGTTACTCTCCTGTAAAGAAGAACAAAAAACTTACCTGTGATTTTGTGCCACGTGCCAGCGCATAAACTGTGCTTTGGCATAACTTTGGTGAAAAATTCATGCGTTCCATCATTCACAAGGACAATCACCTGAAAGTACATCGTCCATAGTATCTATCTGTTTTATCTTTTCATTATGTTAATGTGGTTCACTGCTTACTGTTGCTTGGTGCAGGAAGATGGAGAAGTAACCTTCCACCGTGCGCACATGCAAGAGGAGTCCTGAGTCCACACGGGGGCGCACTTCCATCTGTAGCTCAAACATCGGTCCCAAGTGAAAGGAGTCATCTGTGGAGCAGCAGCAGGTCAGAGTTTCAATGCATTGATCTGATTCAGAGCCTTCAGAGTGTGACTCAGAGAAAGCCAGTTAATTTATAGTGAAAAGTTGTTATACAAATACTGGAAGTGAGTGAAACATCACTGATATTTGAAAGATACTGATTTAATTTGCATCATTACCCAAGAGAACATGTCCTCCTTTTGCAGAGAAGTAGGTTCCTTCTTCAAAAGGCCCACTGAAGCAGGGCATAACGCCAAAGCTGTCTGGGGCTGGCAGCCACTCTCCATCCAACTGCAAGTTCCTGAGACAGCCCGGTATGCTATGTAGAGAGCTTGTCTGCGAAAAACACATCTTATTAGCTCACCACAAAGAATCCCCACACAGCATGGGAACATAAGACATGTGGACAGTCCATGCGACTGTGTGTGTATATAGGCTATCTACTTTATCAAAAGAAATCAGTGTGCTGGTGAAGTGGACAATGTTAATCTTCAATTGAACAAACATAATTTAATATATCCACTGTAACTCCCCCTGTTCTGTCAAAGTCTGAAAAAATGTCTTACTGGGACATTCTTCTGGGCTTTCCCCGGGGGCACCCCTCCAACATACAGCGGCCCCTGGAGCTGCACTGAGCTATTTGTGCTGTTGTCCTCTGGAGCACTGGTCTCTAGCAGCGTGAGTCCGTCGATGATCAGACGTCCCAGATTTCCATCACTAATCAGATCCACCTTCAAAGAAAAACGTCTCATGGTTAGGACATGCACTGTGGTCATATTGAAAAGCTCATATATGACACAGGATGGACATACATTATGCCACTTTCCATCGTTGTATTCGTTCTGGCTGCGGAGTGTCACTGGGTCCCCTCCGGCACTCAAGGTGAGCTCCAGTCTCCCATGAGCTAAATACAGAGCCATAAAGGAGCGCTCCTCCATGTCACATACATATACCATCAGACCAGAGGAGGAAACAGTCTTTAGGGACAGCGACAAGTGCCATCTGTGAACAGAGAAACTCCATTCATCTACGCACATCAAATGAGTTGAACCTTGAAAATAACCTTTTTTTTTAATCTCTTATCCATCTGTTGAACTTTCTTGGGAGCATGACGATGATGTGACTTTGTCACTTTGAGGGATGATTAATGTATGATTAACATTATATATTATATATTAGATATAATATATATAATATAATATATAATAGAAATAGCCTTTTTGGTACATTTGTTTCATTTGCATAAAGCCCAAAAGCCTAAAACTGTTGCAATCACAACAGACACATAATGATGATGAGTCGCACCGGTGGTCCAGGGTGTGTTGTGGCAGTGGATAGTGATGCCTGCTGTGGCTGAAGCCTCCATAGTGGAAGGCGTTCTGCGGGGCTCTGGGGAAATGAGCTTGGGAGCAGGACACTCCTTCTGTGTTTGGATCATCACTGTTGTGCTCCTCTGGAACAGTGCTCCCCTACAGTACAGAGACATCAAACCACACCACATCATTTATTAAAACTTTCCAGTTTTGTGCACAAATTCATATTAAATTATTGATTAAACATTCATATATCTGTATTTATAATGTGAAATGGACAGGACATACTTTCTTGGAGTGTTCCCCTCTGGTTCTCCTGTCCTGGGACAGTAATGCTGCTGGGGGGCGCTTTACAGGACACTCCTGCAGAGAAATGTTGACTTTCTCTGGGTACTTCTGGAAGTCCTCAGGCTCAATGTCTCGCTCCAGCCTATGAATGTGCCATCACACGGAGAGCCACAACCACAAAAATACATTAACTACTTAATTCCTGAATTTATATAGATGTATATAAAAAAATGTTTTGTTGTTTTGTAGATGGTAAATGAAGTTGAGATTATTAACTTGACTATAGCGGAAAAAATCAATCAATAAAAAAAATTTGGGTATGTTGCAAATTAGCAACAACTAGAAACAAGTGCTTGCCAACGCTTCCTAGGAAGGTACTGCATATGCACTAACCAGCAATGGGGGAATGCAGCCACTATCTCGGCTTATGTCTTAATCTAAACGGTTGGTCATGTATTTGTGACAGTCGGTGTCAAGGGGCTGTGAATTATAGCCAACAGTGCCATAGCCCTCAACTTATAATTTCCTCTACATCAGACTCCAGTTGTCCAATTTACCTGCTAATGTAGGCATAACTGATGCAGCCAGTAAAGTTCTTCAGACTGCTGTGAGGGGAGCCTCCAAAGTAAAAGCTCTTCAGTGAAGAGTCTGATGATGTTCTTGATGCTGAGGCAGGACGTTTCTTCTCCTGCTTATCTTTGTCATCTACCATAAGGGAATACCTGAAAAATAGGGAAGAGTACTTTGAAATAACGCCTGTTTTATTTATTGAACCTTTATTTCGCTACGAAGTCCCTTGAGATAAAATCTGGCCTGGCAGTATTGCACTGCAATTGTATAGAACCCAAATACCCCAATGTATTTGTGAAAAATGAAAATACTTGCTTCTGATTGTTAACTGATGCCACTAAGAAATGTGTTCTTCCATCGCTGTACTGTTTCTTGTGTGATTTGACTTTAATGCCTCTATTATTGAGCACCACACCTCCGTTCTCCAGTGCAATACTGAATTCATCAGACTGTGAAGGAACAAGGAGAAAGTAGGGTAAGTGATGCAAAGTGGAACAGAGTGTCATCAGGACTCTGTAAACACTGACCCCCTCATGATGGTAGAAGAGCAACCCACTGGGCTGCAGGGTTCTGAAATTCAGCCCCCCTTCAAAATTATCAAATGGACTTGTCTTGGCTGTGGATCCCAGGTAACTTTCTCCAGTAAAGTAGGCTTTCCGTGACATCTGGAGATGAGAGAATAAAAGCCCAATCCTTTCAGTACTTTGAAGATTAGACACTGCATTTTGTTGAACTGAAGTTCCAACATTTTGATTATGGTTTCGATTGTGGCTCTGACAGTGGCCATACAGGATGAACTTACAAAGGACTCCTCAGGACATCCGCTGCTGATGCCAATAGTTCCTGGCTCTTCCAGGAGGTTAAAATCCTTCTTCTGGAACTGGAAGCCCTTCACACAACCTTTGAGTCCCACCACTGTGGCCAGCTCAGGGCTATAGACAGAAATATATCAGCATATACAAGCATACACATTTCTGCTGCTGTAGCAGGAAACCACTCACCTTGCTTTCAGAATGCTGGATGGGACCCCCCCAATGTATACATGGGAGAAAGGCAGCGTGGTTTTTGGATTCTCGATTGACTTGACATGGCCCTTATCCACAAGAAGGATCACTTTCTTTGACTGATGGTAGATCACTGACACCTGAGCAGACACATTATTACTATGTGCATTACTTTACTTTTGATTGACATAGTCATTTCAGTGTTTACCTCATGATATTTTGCATCATTTATTTGCAACACTGGAAGTTTTTCCTCTAAACGGTTAGGCCCACCACTGAAGCCAAAGTCATATACTAGACGTAGGTAGCCATTTTTCAATTCCAGAAGGAAGAATTTTATCTGAAATGTAAATGCAGTTACTTATATTAAATATACTTCTTGTTTGTTTACATAAATACATAATATTTGTGTCTGTTTTCATTTGTACATAAAAAGTTCATACCCCATTAACCATGAGAAGCAGCACCCCATCATTTGCCACGGTCCTCACAGAAATATCAAATCTGGTGACAACACCAAACTTGCCTCTTCTCTCAATGTTGTTAATGAGAGCATAACCTGTGCCATCGAACAGATAACTGGCAATTCGGGTCTGGGAGAACGCCAGCTTGTATCTTAAAACAAGAGTTATGTCAGATGACACAATTGCAGTGGTATAACTGCAAATAAAGACATTTTTACCTGGGACATGGTGCAGAAGCTACCACGTCCATCTGGTGAATCTCCTTAAAGTTATATAGACTTATGACATCATTGTTTATGGATTCAAGCTCAATGCAGCCAACAAATGGAGCTAGACTCAAAGGAGGGGGCAGCTGGGATAGAAAGGGAAAAACACATCATGTTAACAATCAAGACAGCTAGCTACACACACGTCATAAAGCTCTTTAGCCAGTGGGGTTTTCTCCTGGTGTCATCATAGAGACAATTGAGATGGAGGGCTAGTACATATTAGTATACAGTGTATACTAATACAGTAGTATACAGCAGTATACAGTACAGGGCCTCTCACCTTAATACCTGCTGGAACCCCACCTACAAAAAAAACAATGTCATTCGGGTCGATGTCAAAGAGAGAGTCTGTCCCTGGAGCTTGGCCTTTCTGGATGAATTTCTGTTCATCAGAGGAGCTCTGGCTGGGGATGGTCAGGAAGACCTTTCCATGCCTGCCAAGCCTGCACACAGAACATCCATGTGTGAGCATTCTATCCAAGAAACTGGAGCTGTGTGCACTATATCTCACCTCTCCACTTTGACATAGTTGAAGACTGCTGGCCACTGGCTGACAGGTTTGGAACCCAAGGGAATCTCCACATCTTCACCACCAAGATTGTAAATGTACACCAGGTTGTCATTCTTAATGGCAAGCCCCATGTAGTCTTTCTTTCCCTATGTGAGAGACAAAGGTTTAGTGAGATTACAATGAGAACTCTGAACCACACGTCACACACAAGAGACAAACTTTCTGAAGGTTCTCAGTTATTGAATTGTGGAGCTGAAAATGTTTGTTTCTTTTTTAAATCTTAGTTTTATAAGAAATATTGTAATTAATGGACATATAGGAGCATTTTATTATCTTAAGAAAAGGGGTGCTCACGTTGCGGTCACCGAGGTAGAGGATGAAGCGGTCTTCTATGGGGTCCTTGTCGGGGTCTACTCTGATAAAGAGGCTGATGGAGGTGACCGTTTTGAGGTCATCCAGATTGGTATGTGGATGGACTTCCACAGCTGACTGCCCATTGAACTTCATGGACACTTGGACCTGTATACCATCAAGTGAAATGTCAAAGTTACCTGACTGTCTATAAATAACAGTTATAAATGTATAAAGAATGGGAATGCAGAAAACGCACTTTCTTTGCCACACTCCTGGCCTGTGCTATGAGCTCTCGGATTCTCAAAATGTTGGTGGTCACATTGTTCACAGGCTTCTTCTGCTCCACAACTCGGAGTTTATCCAACAGTTCAGGCACAAGTATATTCAAGTTCTCCACTGCCACACAAGCACATACTTTGGTTTCAGAGAACATCAGAGCATCCCATAGTTGTAAAGGCAAAACTATTATTGTTAATATGTTTGAGATGTGGCTGTATGGATACACTGAGACACATAACATAATGGGTCAGTGTCAGCTGCATCTTCAGTACCTGCTTCCCCAGCGGAGTTCACAGCACTCTCATAGGCTTCTGTCGAATATTGTTTCTTCTTCATGTTGTTGGCCCACTGCTCCACCTTGTTGCTGATGGGAGTGATGGTCTGGAGCACATCTTGGGAGCGGTTCAGAGTTCCCTCGGCTACCTTCAGGGTGAAGTTCAGCCGCTGGGGTGTACGGTCTGCTTGAAAACAATACTTTCACAATGCAGTTCAGTTCAGATCAGTGAAGTAACATGATGGTGTTAGCTCTCACCTGTGTGGATTTTACTAATGTCCTGTTGAATCTCCTCTAGTTTTTTCTGGTTCTTGTCCATGGTGTCTCTGGTCTCCTGAATATAGAGTGACTTGTCGGTGACCTCTGTTTCTACCTCTGTGAAGAAGTAAAGAGTTTGAGAGAGTGACACAAATGCACATACTTAAACTAAGGCAAACTGTCCCTCAGAATAATAGTACACAGTAGGCCTGTCTCACCCCCTTGCTCTGTATGCAGTGAGACAGATTCCTTAAAAACGTTGTCACTCCGTGTTACAAGTAAATTCAGTTGAGTGTTGATCGTATTGATGTCCTGGGAGAAGAAAGCAGAAAACAGACTTTTAATCATATGTGCAGTCATTACCCTAAACCAGACTTTTGAACATATAACATACCTCTTGAGCTTTCTGTGACAAGTTGAAGGTGGTACGTGAGGTGATGTTGGCATCATGAATGTACTTGATAATGTTGTTGTACACGTTGGCTGCACTGATGGCCCGTTGCACAAAACCATTGGCATCACTCTCCCGCAGGTCACTGCAGCATTAATCATAAAAAAACAAACAAACAAAAAAAACAAAAAAATGTTTGTATATATTGTACAGCTGTGTGCCTCTCAGCTTGACAGAAGCGAAATAAAGTGTATTGGATGTAGTGTGATAGTCTTACTCTTCTAGAGCGTTGGCCTGTGTGTCCAGCATCTGCGCATGATCATCTGCTCTTAGCACCAGGTCTGTGTCGACCTGTGCCAGCCTCTCCGACTTATCCTGCAGCTTCTGCCCAGCACCATCAATGGCAGCGTGGTACTGGGTCATGTTCTGCCCACACAATAACACATAACATTAAAGCTCACTTATGAGCCTACAGGATGCTTTTGACACATACCTCCACCATGGAGTCCACTTCGGCCACTGCACTTTCTGTGTGAGACAAGTCTTCTTGGGCTGCTACCAGTGTCTCATTTACTCTCTCATAATCTTTGGAAAGACTTCTTAATTTGGCCTGAAAACAAATAGTTGAAAAGCATGATATGTTTAGACAATGTGTTTATTTTGAATGTTGAAGGAAGCCAGCTCCACATGGTTATATCTTGCATGATACTGTTGGAGAACGTTTGACCCATCCCTCACTGCTATTTGGACAATCTTGAGCTGGGTTATGGTCAGGACGACTCAGCTAGAGAATCAGCCTACCATAAGTGAAATTACTTAAAGAATTTAATAAATGCATAAAGAGGGGTGCAAAAAGGCATGGAGATCCAAGACACCACCTGTAATCTTTTCTGCAAACTGTAAAGGCTATAATACAGAAGTATAAAAAGTAGTCATTTCAGAAATGATCAGGTGGTTCATGTAAGATTTCTGACTGGATGGAACATTATGATTGGATGAGTTGTCCACAAGCACAAATAAAAATTTTTATGACTATAAAATGCTGATAGGTTGTACAGCCAATTCAAAAGAGACCAAAATGTATGTTGGTGTGAGGATGTCAAACAGCTCTGTGCATCACCAAAACTACAGTGGAGTTTGAATGGCTGGATCATTTCACTTTACTGAATCCAATAGAAAACCCATGGAAACATCATCTTTGGAGAGAAGAGTGGGTCAAAGAGAACAGCAAAAGTCTGTATGTGTTCTATATTTTCTCTTGGTCATTTCATTTCATTGAACATTACTGTATATCATTTTGGGACATTCAATTGTGGATTACTTGCTGTTATCAGGAGAACATTTCTTCTAATAATACAAATAATGTAAAACGCTTTTTTACCTGACCTGTTTTGGCGGCAGGACTTCCGACTTCGCCATGTCTATTGTTTTTATTGTATCTATTTTTATCTCTTTTTCTTATTAGCTACTGTGTCTTTGTGAGTGTGTGGTCAGAGCACTATTGGTCTCAGGTGCAGGAAATCACCTCATTCCTCTGGTATTTGAGGATGTTGACCCTGTTCTTGTCCTGGGTCTGCTGGATGGTGCTGGCTGCCCGCTGTAGGAGGGTGTGACCGTCGGACAGCTGGTTGGAAAAGCGGGTTAGTTGTTCTCGGATGGGGGGCAAACGACTATCAGTGACTCCCAGTTTCTTTTCCTGCTGGCGAATGTGCCGCAGCACTGTAGGAAAAAAGCATTACACATTAATAAGGTAAGTTGTTTTGATAGTCATAATGACACAGTGAGTTAAGGGTTTGATCATCAAGTACAGGTTTGGCACACAATAACAGAGGAGGTGTTAATAGGCAGAGTCACTTTCAACTAAATGTGGTATGACCATAAACACACTGACTGGAGGAGTAGAAGAGGCCTGACTCATCTGACTGACATGTGCCTAATCACATGACAGCCTGTCAGCTGACTAGAGAAAAACATGAAAGATTGGGGCTGGGTGCCTTCATCTAATCAGACTCACACCGGGACATTCTCCTGCTTCACTGCATTTTCCTCATGTTATTCCTTCTCTCTACCAGTGCGCCCACAGTGCCCCAGAAGCACTCACACTCATGGGCCTCAGTGGACTCCTCCTTGGCCCGGGGTTCTTGAGGGGACAGGTCAAGAGCCCTCATCCAGGCCACCATCCCCTGGGCTATCTCAGTGTTCTGTCGCACCACCTCCGGGGCCACTTCCTGCTGCACACTGTAGAGCTCCCAGTCATGGATCATGTCTGTAAACCACACATAAGTACAATATGTCAGACACAAAGACTAACAACTCTGTGCTACTGAGCAACCACATTCTCTTTTGGAATTACATCAAGAAGCATGACATGTCACCTTGAAATCACACAATTCTTCAAACATGTCAAGAGTATGAGAAAACATTGCATGGATCTGTTTAAAACAATACAAATTTGAAAATATTCTTGAATATTAGACTGCCCTCTGCCCATAATCCAGCTCCTGCTGAACATGAGCATACCTAATCTTAGTACTGTGAACAGTGGACCATGTGGCACATTGCATTAAAGACACCTGATGCAGAGGAGACTGGGGGTGGAGTAGCTTACCTTCAATGCGAAAGTTTAGATCAGAAAGGTCAGAGGTGAGCAGCTCAGCTTTATTCAGTATTTGCAGAGTACGGTTGTCCAGCCGTGCTGACAGACTGGACACCTCATTGTCCTGAAACACAAGAAGAGCACCATCACAGTCAGTACACAGAGAGGAGCCCCCATTGTATTCTCTGACTAGAGCCACCAGTGCCTGGGAGGAGGGAAAGCACCTGGTACGCACCGATTCTTCCAGTAGCTCCATGTCAGACACAATGGCATCTGTAGCTGTTTCCAAGTCATCAGTCTGAGCCTCCAATAATAAGCGCCTTTTCTCCCACTCTGAAAACTGAGTCTGTGACAAAATACAAAGAATATGTAGCGAACCCACACACTAAAACAGCAAAATGTGAGGAAGAGAGTACCTGTAGCCGGAGTGCTGTGTAGTTATAGTACTTTATGCGGTCATTGGCAGCTGCCCCTGTGGAGATATTCAGCACTGCCACTTTTAGCTGGTCCAGGGTCTTGTTTGAGAGGCGTAGGTCTCCGATCAGGCTCCAGGTGCACTCATCACAGCCTGAACAAAAACATGAATCCCATTTCTGATGTCTTGCCTCCTCAGTTTAGTGAGGCTTTAAGTAAATTATAAGAAATTACATGAAAATGTCATGAGTGTGTGCATTGTGTGTGTATGAACTCACTGCTGTTGCACAGGCTGATTGCGGCCTCCAGAAGACACTCTCCTGTGTGCATGTCACAGTGACCACTCTCACACTCACACTCTAGAAAATCACAAGATAGAATTTTCCATCCATTATTCAATACAAATCATACTCAGCTCCTAGTGTTCCTACTTAGTTTATTGCAGTTTAAGGTTGAACTGTAAATCCATCATTCAATGGCACTAAAACTTTACATTCACTTTACAACAGTCAGTTGAACATATCATTATTGGCGGACAGAGTCACTCACTCTGGCAGCCAGATGAGCTATAGTCCCAGTATCCAGGCAGGCAGCGCTCACAGTAGCGGCCCCCAGCCCCTGGGCGGCATGGGCAGCTGTGGGTAAGTGGGTGGCAGGTGGGACGTAGGGAGGCGGCGCCACATTCACACCTTCGACATCCCTGACAGCTAGAAAAACCTGAGTGTCCATCCTAACAGAGTGAAAGAACACAATGGCAAACAAATCATGAATTAAAAATGTAAAATGTTTGGATGTGTGATCCAAATCTACATTATTATTCTTTATGTGCTACATATATTACCTCACACTGATCGCATAGGCGCCCGGTGACACCTGGTTTACAGTGGCACACCCCTGTCCTGTCATCACATGAAGATGTGCCACATTTGTTGCACTCACACTCTGCAGACACACACATGTGGAGAGAGAAGGAGAGAGGAAGGTCTCATTGGATATTTTGGGATGGGGGCCTTGAGAGAGCATGCATGCTCAACTCATGTTCAGAGTGACCTTGCTGACCACATGACTTCATGTAAACATATGTATTTTAGCTGCATGTTAGTGTTAAAGGTACTGATTATCAACTATAATTACATTTAACTACTGAAAGAAAGCAGCAGTGGCTATGTGAAAATGTCTTCATGCATACCTCTACAGTTCTTGGCAGTGATTGCATCGCCATAAAAACCAGGGGCACACCTCTCGCAGTGCGCCCCAGCCGTGTTGCCCCAGCAGTGCTGGCAGTGGCCTGTTACATTGTGGCACTCGTTGAAGATCAGGTTGGGGTCGGAGTTTCCGCTGCAGTCACATCTCTTACAAGAACTTCCTATGACCATAGGGTTGCCATAGTACCCAGGAGCACACCTGTAAGGTGAAGGCAGATATCATAAAGCCATGTTAATAAATATTAAAATTACAAAATTAAATCTTCTTTGTAGCTGCATTCTTATGTGAATAATACTCACCTCTCACAGGAATGACCTGCGTAGCCTTCCTGACACTTACAGCGCAAACTACCAGTCGCTCTGTCACAGTGCACTGCAAAACTGGACACAAACACTAACTTCAACTTAGGCACAGACTACTACAGCCTGTACAGGCAGGACCTCACCTGTTTGAACGGACAGCCAGGGGGCAGGCGCAGGGCTGGCAGGACCTCCGCCCGTTGGGTCCTACTCCCAAGAGGAAGCCATCCTCACAGTGCTCACAGAAGTCCCCTGTGCTGTGGTTCTTGCAGTTCTGCGATACAATCAAATTCATAGAATCAAACTTAAATACAATCTTGATTATTATTATTATATAGCCTGATTATAATTCAGAGAAAACCTACTATACAAACACCAGTGATGTCCTGGCAGTGGTCAGCATTGCCTTTGCAGTTACATGGAAGACAGAGACCCCGTTCACTCAGAAAGAAGCCTTTCTCACAAACCTGCACAATAAACCCTGGTTATTTCTTTACACAACTTAGCACAGCTCACAAGATAAATACAATGCTCAAATTTAATTAATATTCAAGTCAAAACAAGTTCATATTCAACAATAGCATGACAAGATTTCAATATTGTCAATATGTCTGTGCGAGATTGTGTTGAATAAGTATTGAGAAGGTCCAGTCTTCACACAGAGTTCCATGTATGAGTCACACATATTTTCACTCAGAGATGGGACAAAGACATGCCTCTGTGCTCAGCCTGTGTGGGTTGTTCCAACAGCTGCAAATACACAGTTTTACATTTCAATGCACTGCCATTTGTGGGCATTTACAGACATTTACATTTATATTATTGTTTTATTTAAGCATTTTTAAAACATAGGCTATAGTTCACACTTGTTGTTATAATTTGGGATCTGTCCAGTGACTTCCAACAGTAACTCTGTTGTCACAAACTTAGGCTTTTGCTATGTCTGCCCCTGACAAGGTGGCATCAGGGTTATAATAAACCATTTCAGATAAGATATATTAGTAAAATGGCCTATATTTCTTAACCAGAAAATATAATCTGTCATGATTGCAACTGACTTCTACATATTTTTTTTCTTTTTATCAGTCAAATCATACACAAATATTATATTGAGCCCAAATGGTACAGGCCTTCTGCAGCTCCAACAGCTGCTCTGAGTGTGAAGACAAGACGGAAGTAAAGGGGGGAGTGGGAGGGGGACGTGTGGGCAGACATGTGATACTTAGAATAGAAGGATGATTATTATCTGTTGAAGAAACCAAGTTCAGATATTTACTTACCACTACATCATTGAAATACATTTTATGTACTTCTTCTAGTCTTTGAACTCCTCTTAAAAATGTGTGCGCGCGCGCGCGCGTGTGTGTGTGTGTGTGTGTGTGTGCGTGTCTGTTTGTGCAATAGAAATGTGGGCAGTGTCAGACTAAACAAAGTGAAGAGCAGAGTTTGTTTAGATCTTCTGAAACATCAACCAGTCACCAACCAGTCCCTCTTACATTCTGTTCAAATGCAGGAGGGTCTGAACCAGACCACAGTTGCTAATATGTAGCATGTGTCTCTCAGTTGTGGAGGACAATCCCCCGTCTAAACTTTCTCAAACCATTCATAACAGAAACAGCAACAATGAAAAAAAGTTTGGTCCTTCCATTCTTGATACTGCAGAAACCCATGCTTTTTCCAGTCCTCTGTTGTTGCTTTTTTCCTCCTTTATTTACTTAGAAGCCGCCATGTTTTTTTTTTACTCCCACACACATTGCATTTATCTAATTCGTTAATCTGCTTGTTAATCACACCTATCTGAAATTGCGGAGACAGGATATGGTTCAAGACCATCAGCGGTCTGGAGTCTGCATCATCACAGGCTGGAGTCTGGGTCATCAGAATCTGGATTGTCGCTGTTTAGATCATCAGCGTCTGGATCATCACAGCCTGGAGTCTGGATCATTAGAGTCTGGATCATGAATGTTTGGATCATCACAGTCTGGACCATCACAGCCTGGAGTCTAGAACATTAGAATCTGGTTCATCATTGTTTGGATCATCACACTCTGGATCATCACAGACTGGAGTCTGGATCATTAGAGTCTAGTTCATCAGTGTTTGGATCATCACAATCTGGATCATCATAGTCTGGAGTCTTGATCATCACAGTCTAGATCATCCAAGCCTGGAGTCCAGACCATCACAGTCAGGATCATCACAGCCTAGAGCCCGAATCATCACAGTTTAATTTAAGCATGTTTTGCAGTTTGAATAGAATGTGGAAATGTCTCACTTCTCAGGTATCATCTCTGGACCTTCTTGCTGTGAGATGTGAGTGCAAGCAACTCAACCACCATGCTTCAGTGAATCTGAGGCATCTTTGCTCCCTGCTCTATTGGCTTTCACCATCGCCCTAGCCCCTTTCTATCTCCATGTTCTGAAGCACATCTGGATCACTGCCAAAGACATTTTAATGCTGAGCCAAAAGCTTCCCATAAACAGCTCCATGATTTGGGATTTATGGAAACATTAGCATACCTCCGTAACTGTAAGCTGTTGCTCGTACAGAGATTCCCATGCCTGCTCACTGTGCCGTAGCTCTTTCCTGTGGCAGCTGCTTTCTATTAGCGGCTGGGATAGGAAGGGGGGGGCTTAGACATACTGCCCATACAAACAACAGGGCAGTGCAGTCCACGTCCATGTCCTAAATGTAACACAAAGGGGCTTGGGACTAAAGGGAGCCAAAGTGTTTTAAAGTTTGTGTTATTCATTTCAGTAATCACTGCTTCTGCTCACTAATGTCTTCAACACTTGGATTTAGTGTGGTAAGAGTGCTCTTTTTGGAAATACAAATAGCAGTTTTTTTTTTTTATTTGTAATGTAATGTTATTCTGCTTGACTCTTAATTTTGTTGAAGGTCAGCCTAATAGTTGTAGTAACGTAGTGTGTAGTGTCAGGCATTTTAAAAGTAATGATCAGAAAAAAATATTAGTTCCTCAAAGGAAAGCATGTATAGCTCTAAAGGTGTACAATCATATAACAAAATGATAAATCTCAAAAAGGGAGTAACTGTTTCATCTCTGCTTAATTTGAGGGACTGGTTGTCAGTAAAATAACAACATTTAGAAAAACAAGAGCAAAATACTCTCATATTTTTATTCTCTCAGGAGTCTGTCAAAGTGTCTGGAGACTTTCAACTTAAGTAATTATAGAAAATTCTGTAAACAACAGAGAGAAAACTTACTTTTTGAAGGGTCTGTTGCTGTCCTCTAACTCTTGCGGCTGTGGCCCCACAGCTGATCCCAGACAGGATGCAGAGTAGGGAGAGGCCGGCTAGTGATCCAGCAGCCATCTTGGTCCAGTGGAGCTGATCTGTATGTGCTCTCCACGGGAAGAACAACTTTCCGGGCTTCTCTTGTGTCAGCCGCTGCCTACACTGTTCCAGTTCTGACCTCCTGATGTAGTCCCAGCCCACTGCTAAGACCCTCCTCCAGCTCCACCAGCACACGGCCTCTCAGGAGACAGATCACATCCAGATGGGAAGGCTGAGAGCACAGCAAGAGGGGCCAACAAACTGCCCTGTCCAGAGAGAGAGAGAGAGAGAGAGAGAGAGAGAGAGTAGAGAGAAGGAAAGAGAGAAAGTCTGCTCCAAAGCAGCACATGGCAGTGGATTTGTTTACATGCCCATTACACTGTCCAGAGACCCTCAAAACACTTTCAATCCCTGTAATTCCGATAATTTTTTCCAGTAGTATACTTAAATGCAGATGTAATTCATCAGCTCCTAAAAGAATTAGGTCCAACTCAAAACTCATAACTTTGTTCCCAATGGCACTGATAGTATCTTAGAATGCTGGAAAAAAAAAAAAAAAAAAAAACCTCAAAATAACACTTAAAAGATAGCATAGGATTGGAAATGCATTGTATTGACCTTCTGAAATATAATGCTTTGCTCATCTTCCTGTATTACTGAAACACTGCACACAAAAAGATGTTTCCAAACCCAGTGACCTTTAGCCCTAGCTCTAGACCACACCCCTGTGCTGACCCGGGGGTGAGGTTTGAGACTCTAGATTTACGTCACTGTGCTCAGAGGAACACCACACACAGAGACTTCCAGCAGCTCAAACACAGGATGTGTATTTTTGTCAGTAGGTCACCATCAAAGACTTCTAATTTTACTGCTCTGTTCTTCTCTTCAGCTTAAGCCAAACAAGAGGAGACCTAAAGATGTGTGGTCGCTTTACTTATGGGATAGGGGCTGTGTGCCAATCCATAGAGAAAAAAATGTTAATTCAGAGTAGAGTGTTGTTGGATTGCTGCCTGAGAATGAAATGAGATGGTTTGTTGGTGGAGCACAGCAGCTGGAGGAAACTGAGGCCTCAGCTCCATACTTTCTCATGACCTTCCACTGTACATCTGCTTCTGATCTGCAGGCTCTGCCAAGATTATGTAGTGGCTCCAGGCATGCATAAAAATCACTCAACAAACAACTTCACAGTATGGAAAATACATTTAGTAATACAGTCATTAAAAAGACTGTGAATGAACATTTCTGATGTTATTTTTAACAGAATTTACATTTCCTTTTACTACACAACAAGCAGCTCAGTCTCCAGTGGGACCCAAATACTCCAGCAGAGGGCGTTTAATGCACACATTTGATCATGTGCTCCTATCTGCACAGTGTGGTGCATGTCCTCCTTTTCAAGTTATTGTTGTCTTTTAACCCTCTCAGGCTCAAATAAATTTTTAGTATCAGGAAAAATCTGATATTTGGGGAAAATTATAATATTGGGTAGTAATATAAAATCCTGACTTTTTTATCCTTTGTAAAAAAAAAAAAAAAAAAAAGTATTTTGCACTTCTGGCAGGCCATTTGCGTGTAGCCATTCTTGCACAGTCCGTGCATTGCCCACGTTTATCAGCACGGATGGGAGAAAAGACTCCTGAGCTAAAAAAAGCTCATAAAATATGGATGTGGAGTAAGTAGGTAATTGGCATTTAGCTGTCGCAAATCTGCAACGCCTGCCTGGAGAGGGTTAATAAACTGACATTGCAAAGGAAAATTGAATTCTGTCAACTGGACAAAGGTTTTTAAGAAAAAAATATGTTTCATCACTCTTCTGGGAGGCTTCGTCAGTTCTGACAGGTTTCTAAAACCACTAACGACTCCTTTGAAGATGGTGAAATACAGATATGCGGAGAAGAGATGGTTTGAGAGAGATGCCAAAGAGGCTGTATTTGTCAGGAAAAACAATTTATCTCTTAATAGAAATGTGTGTCTAAGGTAGAACCTGTCACCTATTTCCATCTCCTTCCTCAGAGCTAAACCAATACAAAGAAAACATTGATAGCAGGGGCATTAACACAACATCAGGCTCTACATTCTAAAACACAAGAGCTTTTAATTGATCACTTTTTTTTTTTTTTTTGAATATAAACACTCATTATAACTATGTTGTAACACAAGAAAACAAAAGGAAGGTTTAAATCATGTGAGAGACAGTGATGAAGAGCTCATAGTTGATCTCTCAGTTGAGCCTAAACCTCTGACAGGAAGTGAATTGAAAGGACCTGGTCACAGGCTCTTTACTCACTGGTATCAAACAAGGATCAAAGATAATGACAGAGAACAGTGGGATAAATAATAGCAGACAAATGTATTTTCAGTATTAGAGCAACTAAACATTTAGTGCCAGAGGGCTACATTTCTCTTGATACAAATATTCCCATATTGAACAATAAATAATGCATTTTTTCTATGATTGTGGGATTAAAATGAATGGTAGAGGATGGAGCTTTATTTAATCCCCAACCAGTGTCGTTATGGGATTATGTGAGCCCCTATGACCTGCCGCAGGATTACCCCAGGAAAGGACCATGAGGCCAAGAGACAGGCTGCAGATCAGACACAGTTGGAGTTTACGAGAGTAATATGGATACTATGTTCTGAACAAGTGTAAATTATACTTTTAGGCCACTTTAGAATAACATCTCTGAGATTTATGAACACAAAAACCTAATCACTGCCTGGAAGGCAGACTTAAATACATGTTAATGTGCAGTAATTATAATAATAGCAATAATAATAGCACTTATTATTGTGTGAATGTGATACAGACTTTGGGTTTGCCCGATAAGTAGGGAAATAAACGAATGTGTGTGGGTTGTCTCTGAAATGTAAAAGACAAAATGAAAAAACTTACTGTTTCCTTGACAACAATGATGAAATATCGATTACCACTCCCACTTACTGTTTGGATCTGCCTCATTTGTGCTCACTGCTCATGTACATGAGGCACACAGCAAAGAGACAAATGTGCAGCATCTCCAGTCTCTGGTGAATGATGATTCTTTTCAATGAATTTGACCTCCAGTGCTGTGAGACAGTCTTGCCTAATGAAAAGCCTCCATCTCACAACCACAGCAGCTATGGCCGCGAAAACTTATAACCTATTTCAATGAAACCAAGACGCTCAAAGCAGATGAGAAGATAAGACAGAGAGCAAGACTGAAGAAGTGATAGAGGAAAGTGGGGATAGTCTGTGTGAAGAGGAGGGGTGGGGGGTCAGCAGATGCTGATGTGAGCTGTCATATTGTTGAGGCTTACATGGCCTAATGCATATGCAAAGGAGATTTCCCTTCTAGACAAATGTGTCTGGCTGCAGGAACTATAATCCTTAACTGTACTGTCTCATGATGATGATAATGATGACAATAATTTGCATCACAGTTTTGTATGCAAGCCATATCAACATTTCTGGTGATATGACTTTGTAACAGCCAAAGAAATGATGGCCAAAGTCAGTGGATAAATGGTTATCACCAAATTTACTTTTGTTTGTTTTACAGTTGGTTGTAGAACTCCGACTTTTTTAAAATCGTGTGGTGTGGTGCCGTGGTTCAGTAGTGTTCCCACAAACAATTCCGGCTCTTACAGTGGATGCTTGATTGTAGAGGGTGAGTACATGAGACGTGGAGAAGTGCAAAGTTGGAATCCATGCATTCCATCTATCAAGTGGTGAGACAGAATGATTATTCACCGCATAATGTAATGAATATTCTGATGCTGAATGCATCTAAGGCATTGTAGTCACGTGAGCACACTGTGTCTTTATCCTGAGAACGTTGTGCCTAGCAGTAGCCTATTAATGAAATTATAGCCTACTTCATATAAGAACAGTGTACTCCTCAACAGTGCGCACCACACAGTCACTGAGGCATCGGGTAGATTACGTCCACCCTGCTCTGCGTGTCACATGTCCATTCAGCCCATCTGCCGTGCGCGTGCATGCTTGAGCCGAGCGCGCCATCAGAGCTGGAGGCTGCAGGTAGGCTTCTCTCATCCAGCAGGCTGCACGCGGGACACTGCCCTCTCCGTGGATTTATCTCGTGTGGAGTACCGTGTCCTGCTAACTTTTTTGGCGTGGATGTGACTGCAGCATAGATCTGCGCTTTTGGACAACGGAATACGCCTCTTCTTCGCACTAACGCAAAGACAGGTCCATAAACTGAAGATGGGAATTACACATATCGGAGTGGATTTACAGCTCCTGTGCGCGGCATCATGGCGTGATTATCGGCCACATCTCCAGGACTGACGGTGTACTCTGAGGTAAGACTCCGCGGGGATCGGCTTGTTTGCGCTGTTGGTGTTGGTGCTTAATGCATCAAAAGCAGCCCGGGAGATCCTGTGGCGCGTCCCTGTCTCCTGCCGCCGTTAGCGCACGATGTCCTACTTATAGAGGTCTGCGAAGTCTTCGCTGAGCCTTGCATGTAGGCTACTCTGCTCTAAAAACAGGGCAATTGTCGACTATATTTTGTTGTCTGTGCTTTGAAGTAAATATAATAATGCATTTATCAGTCATGCAATGACACATTATACCGCTAGATGGAGAATGCAGATGACTCGATGTAAGGCAACCTATTTAATTCTGACTATTTTCAGGAAGCAACTTTTGAAATAATCTTGATTTTAGAATGCAGTATTTTAAAGACAAAGCATCCATATCCACAACATTACAATTTAAGCCACATACGATTCAGTTTGGAAAATGACATGATGCTGCAGCTGTAGCCTACGTATAAAGTTGGCCTGTCGGTGGCCTGTCAAAAGCTGCAGTGATGTGCTATGTAGAATCATAGGTAGGGCATTGCGATTAGTTGATTTTATTCATTGGAATCTCACAAAGACTAAACAATCTATTATTCCCTTTCAGGGCAAATGTGTCATAGCTTCAGGCCTACTCAACTCCAAAAGGCTATTCATGTTTGGATAGTGCTTCTTACTTCCCAATACAGTTAAAATATTCACTGTTTAGACGAATAACTGATGATGATTAATAACACTATAAAAATGGTGATATATAGGTATAGGTGCACATGACAGGCAAGACACTGTGTACATAAATACATGTTGATAATTCTGCTATAGTGATATTGAGGTCTATATCCCCCTGGAAATCACATGATAATGGAAATCATATCATAATGTAACCCCAG